TTTTTGCAAAAAAAATATTTCCACCGAACTTTGTGTCCCATTATTATTTTTTTACACTTGATGATTCTGTTCATCACCATCTGTTGTGAGCTTACATAAGATTTAATTATTTTATTTACTCAAACCACACATTGTTTCAATTACACAAAGACAAGCACAACTCAAAATAAGTGAGAAAGATATTGTAATTTTGATTTACGCAAATTCAAATTCAACTAAATCATTATTGTAACCTGCAGCATACAGTGCGTGATATAATGGTTTTTCAGTAAACTTAATCGGTGATTTAGGCGTATTTAAGTTGATTGATTATAATGATTATATTGATTATCATACTTCTAATGACCTCCAAGAGTCGAAGACTCTCATTTGAGCATTTTTTGTCAGCAATTTCGTTACTTTATTTTGAAGATTCATATTGATTGTCACTGTTTCTGTGCTCACAGAGATATCTTAAGTGAAACTTTGAATGTCAGGAGTCACAAAGTGATTTTGTTTGATCGATTAAACATATCACTTTTGTAGGCTCAGTTATTTGCAAGCTTTCGTACCGAGTTTCATTGTTCTCTATGGAGGAACTCCCTAACTTTGAACGCTAATAACTCAAGAACCATTTTTTGAGAGTTTTCGAACTTGGATTTATGGAAAGAAAATTTTGTTTGATATTGCTTGATGAATATCTCTATCGACCGCTCTTGGCATGACTGCTGATTTTCGGTCATTGCACGCATAGATTTTAGTATCAAACCCATTAATTTAATACTCGTGTAACTTTTGCCGGTAAACTATTAATAAAAGTGCATTTAATTCGGACCGCGTAATTTTCTGACTTTTAGAAAGTATAATTGAGAATGAGCTAAAACTCGATGTAACTTTGATGATCAATCAGATCATTTTGATTTTCAGTGAAACCAGGCACATTCTTTTACCGTAATAACTAGAGATATAAAATTCATTTCGTCGATAAAATTTATGGTGAACATCAACAATCGGAAACTATTTTCAATTTATCGCCAGTTCTTTTGATTTAGTCATTGGTGCAGCAGTCTAAAAACTTTAAATTTCGATATGTCGAGAACGGAAAACCCCCTGAAAAGATCATCATTTGACCAATCAATAGAATTTGTTATGGGCGATGGTGGTTATGCTGCTTATTCAAGAAAATCTGAGCTAATTCATTGAACAATGAATACTCTTCGAACACATCATAAGGTTTTTTATTATTAGGCGATATTTTTCTTGATCTATCTCCGTGAATGAATTCTATCTTCATTATCTAATGGTTGTTTAATCGGAGTTTTTTACATGTTTATACCATATTGGCAAGAAGTCAGAAAAATTGATTAACAGAATTTTAAGCATCTGTGTTGCCAAAATGAGTTTTCAGTATTGAATATTCACCAACCAATCGAAAAAAGTTTGCGCTCTCAGGTTTTCTCTTCAAAGTGTTATTTACAGGTAAAACCTAGAATCTTGAAGTTGATGTTTGAATTCATTGTCAATCGAAGGAAGCTAATGGTTCAAATATTAGGCCCCTAGTATCAACATTCATGAGTTATGATTGCTAAAAGGCGTAAATGATGAGCACACAAGTTATATAATGGGTCATCTTGCAAAAGTTGTTCATCCTAAGCAATCAATCATTTGTTGAAGCATCGTTTCGGAGTCAATTTGTTGTCGCTTTGGAAATGGTTGTAATTAAAAGAAGATATAAACTGATATTTTCCAGGAGAAACTGAAAGTTGAGAGAAAATTTTGTCATGAAAATAATAGATTTTAGGCATTTTACAACTTACAATGAAACAATGATAATCATCGATGCAGAATATATTGCCAATATAGAATCCAATCTTGTACGTTGACATTCGTTCCAATGTTGTAATGAGCTGAATGTGAAGAGTATGATGAGAAACAGTTGATTGAAAATATCGAGGTTGATTGTAACGGGAAATTGTTTTACCTTTAATCTGGTTTCTAAATCGAATGGAATATTGACTGATAATCTGTAAATTGCTTTTCTAAACTTTTCAATCTGCAGTCAAAGCGAACAAAGGAAAAAAGTTTGAATTGAACAAATTAATGAACACAGGAAACTAAGTGTTTCAACAAACCTTTTTAAATGAACCCGAGGCGAAAAGATTGTATTGAGTTATTGTTCCGATAGTAATGAAACCAGTGAAAAAGAGTAAAAAATCAAGTAAAATATTTCTAGTTCTGACATAAGTACCACAGAAGAAGAGTAAATCAGCATAAAGGGAACCAACAAAAAATGCGATGAAAACCGAAAGACCAAAGTTGTCATTCAAAATTGCTATCGTATTGTAGTGAGCATTTTGCATTTGAATCAATCTTTGGATAACATTCATTGTCGAAGAGTGTGAATAGTTGACTTTCAGTGATTTGATTAGCCTGTCAACTCGAATGATGGCTGAACTGGACGATTGAATGGAAAGAGAAATAAAAATGATTGTGTGAACAAAAAACCAATAAGCAGCTAAACCGGAAAAGTAAACGGCTATATTGCTTATGGATAACCAGGCAAGTTGGATAACGAAGGTTCGTACACTTATTGACGCACTTAAAATCATTGCTTGAACTTGTATGATAACTACTGAGCCGACAGCTATTACTATGAATATGTCCAAGCTGTAGCTTGTTAGACAGGTTAATCGGCGAAATTTGAGATCACAGTTTTTTGTCATTCCCCAAATGGAACGATCAAAGCTCTTGTCTCGCAAACGACCAAAGACATTCAAAATTTTCATTCGGGATTGAGATTCAGAGTATACAAGGGCAGTTTTTATGCTGCCCATAAGAAATGCTGCTCCTGCAAAGATTATGTTGAGCAGTGAGTATGCTGGATAACCAATGAAACTGTCACCTAATAGAATGCGTAAGCTCTCGTCTTGGACAAATGCAATGATAAGATGTCGAAGGGAATTTGCATAGCACCAAAGACAAAGGAAAATATTGAAAATTAATTTAGACCGAGCTGGTTTGTTCGTTTGAGAATAACCATTGATACAGATCCATTTTACGATACTTGACCTTTCAAGATGGTCAATCAGTTTAACTAATTTACTTGGTTCAGATAGTCGATCAATAGAGTCTAGAATTTTTTGAAGAAAAGATGACGACGAGTTTAATGATGAGACAAAATTTGGATTGAAATTTACTTTTTTGCAACAAAAATATTTCCTTCGACCTTTGTGTCCCATTCTTTTTTTGTACACTTCACGAAACTGTTCATCACCTTTTTGCATACGATTTTAATAATTTCATTTATTTAAAATTTATATTGTTTCAAACAACGCAAAGAGAAACACAACTCAAGATAAGTGAGAAAGATATTGTAATTTTGATTTACGCAAATTCAAATTTATGCGTGATACAATGGTTTTCAAGAAACTTAATCGGTATTTTAGGACTATTTAATATAATTGATTATAATGATTATATTGATTATCATACTTCTAATGACCTCCAAGAGTCGAAGACTCTCATTTGAGCATTTTTTGTCAGCAATTTCGTTACTTTATTTTGAAGATTCATATTGATTGTCACTGTTTCTGTATTCACAGAGATATCTTAAGTGAAATTTTGAATTTAAGGAGTCACAAAGTGATTCTTCTTGATCGATTAAACATATCAATTTTGTAGGTTGAGTTATTTGCAAGCTTTCGTACAGAGTTTCCTTGTTCTCTATGGAGGAATTTCCGTACTTCGAACGCTAATAAGTGCAGAACCATTTATTTTGAAAATTTTAAAATGGCATTGATGGAAAACAAATTCTTGTTTGTTTGATAGGGTTTGATGAAAATCTCTATCGACCGCTCTTGGCATGATGGCTGGTAATTTTTAGTCAACTCTTGGAATCTGTTCACCACAGAGAGGTGCGTTGACCTTTCGGCCATCATCTGATGGAATCTGGTCATTCCCAATGAACAACGCCATAATCTGGCTACCAAACACAGAATTAGTTATCCTTACCATGACTCAAAGTCGAACAACGGCTCAGTCAGGCTCTGTCACGCATAGAGTTTGAGTATCGCACCAATTAGTTTACTTATGTAACTTTTGCTGGTAAACTATAAAGATGCATTTATTTCGGGGAGCGTGATTCTCTGAATTTTAGCAAGGATAATTGAGAATGAGCTAAAACTCATTTTTTTACCGATAAATGAGTATACGCGAAAAGTTTACATTTCGGGTTAAGATTTGGGACTTTGTGGGTTTTAGGGGCATAAAAACTAATCCTATTAATGCTAATAAAAAACTCCAATCAACATTTTTGAGAAAATCAAGATCAAAGTTGAAACTTGGATCGCCTTTTGTACAGTTGTGTGACCAGATTTTTCATCAAAATCATTTTCTTGAGGTAACCTCTGTTAGTGGACTCGAAAATGCACTCATTTTGTGGAATAAAGTTTTTGTTTTCTGTAAAATATCACTTTAACTTTCAGTTTAACCAGGCGCATTCTGCAACCGTAAAGACTAGAGATTTGCAACTCATTTTTGTCGATATAAATGTATGGTGAACATTAACGATCGGAAGCTCTCTTCAATTTAATGCCAGTTCTCTTGATTTTGGCCAAAAACTTTGAACCTTGGTGTTTCGAGAATAGTGTCACCTAGAAATACTATCCTTTGACCAATCTATTGATTTTGTTATGAGTTAAGGGATAATATGAGTATTTCACCCTCACACGAACTTTCTTAACACCCCGTAAAGAATAAAATCAAAACGAGTTCAAATTAGTTGCAGAATAGCGGATATGTTACTCTTATGCACTGTAAAGGTCTGCAATATTTTTCTTCTTTCACTTTCGCTATCTTCATGAATCATTCTATCTTATTCATTATCTCGTTGTTTATTACATGTTTATACCATGTTGGCAAGAAGCTATCTTTCTAGGAAAATTTTATAAACTGAATTTTAAGCAGACATCCATCTCTGTAGACTAAAATGAGTTTTCAGTATTGAATATTCACCAACCAATTTAGAAATTTGCGTTCAAAATATCTTTTATTTCTTTTCTCGAGTTGGACATTCGTTGAAGCATCGTTTTCCGAGTCAATTTGTTGCTTTGGAAATATTTGCAATTAAAAGAAGATATAAACTGACATTTTCCAGGAGAAACTGAAAGTTGAGAGAAAATTTTGTCATGAAAATAATAGATTTTAGGCATTTTACAACTTACAATGAAACAATGATAATCATCGATGCAGAATATATTGCCAATATAGAATCCAATCTTGTACGTTGACATTCGTTCCAATGTTGTAATGAGCTGAATGTGAATAGTATGATAAGAAAGAAAGTGTTGATTGAAATAGCAAAGTTTATGTTCTATAAGAATTCTTTACCTTGAATCTGGTTTTCAAATCGAATGGAATATTGACTGATAATCTGTAAATTGCTTTTCTAAACTTTTCAATCTGCAGTCAAAGCGAACAAAGGAAAAAAGTTTGAATTGAACAAATTAATGAACACAGGAAACTAAGTGTTTCAACAAACCTTTTTAAATGAACCCGAGGCGAAAAGGTTGTATTGAGTTATTGTTCCTAAGGTGATGAAACCAATAAAAGAGAGTAAAAGATCGAGTAAAATGTTTTTAGTGCTAACATAAGTACCACAGAAGAAGGCTAAATCGGCAAAAAGTGAACCAACAAAGAATGAGATGAAAACTGAGAGACCAAAGTTGTCATTTAATATCGCTATCGTATTGTAGTGAGCGTTTTGCATTTGAATCAATCTTTGGATAACAGTCATTGTCACAGAATGTGAATAGCTGACTTTCACAGATTTGATTAGCTTGTCAACTCGAATGATGGCTGAACTGGTCGATTGAATGGAAAGCGAAACAAAAATGATTGTGTGAACAAAAAACCAATAAGCAGCTAAACCGGAAAAATAAACTGCTATATTGCTCACGGGTAGCCAGGCGAGTTGGATGAGAAAGGTTCGTACGCTTATTGACGGGTTTAACACCATTGCTTGAATTTGCATCGTGATTGTTGAACCGACAGCTGTTACTATGAATATGTCCAAGCTGTAACTTGTTAGACAGGTTAATCGGCGAAATTTGAGATCACAGTTTTTCGTCATTCCCCAAATAGAACGGTCAAAACTCTTGTCTCGCAATGAGCCAAAGACATTCAGAATTTGCATTCGAGATTGAGATTCAGAGTAAACAAGAGCAGTTTTAATGCTGCCCAAAAGAAATGCTGCTCCAGAAAATATTATGTTGAGTAGTGAGTATGCTGGATAACCAATGAAACTGTCACCCAATAGAATGCGTGAGTTCTCGTCTTGGATAAAGGCAATGGTTAGATGTCGAAGGGAATTTGCATAGCACCAAAGACAAAGGAAAATATTGAAAATTAATTTAGATCGAGCTGGTTTGTTCTGTTGAGAATAGCCATTGATGCAGATCCATGAAGCGATACTTGACCTTTCAAGATGGTCAATCAGTTTTACTAATTTACTTGGCACTGACAGTCGATCAATAGAGTCGAGTAGTTTTTCAAGAAAAGATGACGGTGAGTTTAACGGTGGGACAAAATTTACTTTTTTAGAAACAAAGTATTTCCTTCGATTTTCGTATTCCATTCGCATTTTTAGTACAATCAACAATACTTTCTATCGACTTTCGCAACTTGAAGTCAACTTGGTCAAAATTCAATATCTTTAGTTATTAACAGTTAAACTCAATATCATCTCATTGTTTTGAATTTTAAATGTTACTCAACGAAATGCAAAACAAGTGAAACTCAAGAAAAGTGGTAATGATTATTGTAAATTTGATTCACGCAAATCCAAATTCGAATAAATCATTATTATAACTTTGATCATTTGGCGATCAATCAAAACTTATTGTAATTGTAATTAAACTAATGAAGAACAATGGCTTTTGATGAAACTTAATCGATTATCTAGGATTCATCAAAACAATTATAATACAATGTTAACATTTGAAATAACTAACCTTGCAAAATATTGCAGACTTCATTTCATTTAAACAATTTAAATTGGAATCAATGTCGATAGTTTCAGGTTTTTTTGTCCGTAGTTGCATAAAGTCACTGCAAGGACATAACAATGAAATTGAACATCATACAACTCACTAGTTTAATAGTTTTATTGGATGCTCAATGCACACTTGGTTTAAATACAGACATCGTAAATGAATTTTGCAAAATGAAATAAAAGCTAAAAGTTGGTATTGAGCAATTTAGTGCGTTTTATGTTATTTTATACGAATCATAGATTCAGTTACAATTATCCCTTTGAATACTTTGAGGTAGAGATTTGAAAGCAAGTTATATTTCAAAAAATAGAATATTTTATTTACTTCCTTAAATCAAAAATATTTTTGCTTTTTATTGAAAAACAGTTATTTCTACAAAATTTACGATCTATTAAATCTTATGATGAATTAAATGATGAGATTCATCACGATCATAATTTGATTTCAGCAAAATTGACTTCTATTAATGATCAAGAAAAGCTATTAGTTCATCAAATTTTCAAGACTGATTGGTAATAATATTATTTGTTTTAATTGTCATCAATTGAAAAGTTTAAAAGAATAGGAAAAGTAGCATAATTCAAGTTTACAGTGAAATCTTCATGGTCTTTGTAATCGATGAATATTGTTGTTTTGCAAAATGGTTTTTTGTTCATCAAATGTTATAAAAATGCGTTGTCCAAAATTTCTAGATATGCTTTTTCTAGATAGTCGTTGATACCCCCGACTAAAAAACAAACGAAACATCATCCATGCACAGAGTCAGTCCATTTCAAGGTTTGCAGGTTGATTTTTGGTGATGTTAGACACAAATAGCAAGTATAGACTGATGTTTTCTAATAGAAACTTGAGATTAAAGAAAAGGGAAAAATTAACTGAGTGCTATTCGAGATTGGCTCCCGTAAACCTTGTCGGGAATACTTTGGTTTATTTGCTTCTTAATTGTTAGCTTTTGCATGCCGAAACTCGGCCTCATCCTTGGTACTTCCTGTTCAATTTCCATTACTTACAATGACACAATAATATTTATCCATACAAAATAGAGTTCCAACGTAGAATCCAATCTTTTTTATCGACATTCGCTCCAAGGTTGTCAAAAACTGTAAAACAATTGAATTTGAAGTAAGTTTCTTTACGCTAAATCGATGAAATAAATCACCTTAATTTTAATTTTCAAACTTAATGACATTGCGTGATAATTGGATGACGTCCGTAATATATGATAGATCATCTTGCGAAAGTTTTCAATCTAAGAGAAAGTCATTAATTACAAACAGTAAATAAATGAATCATTTAATTAGTTAAAACTCAAGAAAAAATTTAAATTCGATGTGTAACTACTGTATTTCAAGTCATGCATCTCTAGTCAAATCATTCTGGTATAAGATGACTTTAAGCTTCGGTGAATCTTTTCAATAAAACTTTAACTCTCACCTTTTTGGATGAACCTGAAGCAAAGAGCGCATACTGTAATATGTTTGCTATTATAATTGTGCCGAGAAACATCAAGACAAAATCAATGACAAAATTTCCCGTTCCAACATAATTGCCACAGAAAAAGGATAAATCGGCGAAAAAAGAGCCCATAAAGAAGCTTAAGAAAGTAGACGATGAAAAGTTGTCGAGAAACAAGTCAATCTGATTGTAATGGTCATTTTGAGATTTGTAAAGTCGATACAATTTTCTTTCAATAACTTTAATTTCATGTTCATTTGTCATCATTTCACGATTCAACTCGCGAGTTGCATCAATCGCCGAGTCCATCAATTGAACGGAAAACGAAATGAAAATGACAACGTGAATGAAAAACCAATAAACTGCCAAGCCAGCAAGATAAAAGGTGCCATTAGCCCAAGGAAGCCAAATCAATTGGAAAAGAAAAATTTCTCGTGAAATTTGCGGATTCCTGATCATGGCTTGTATGTGAATTATAGCGATGCTGCTGCAAGCAATGTAAATGAAAGTGTGCAAGCTTCGACCAAGCAGGAAGATCAATCGACGAAATTTTTGATCATTCACTTGTTTCGAATGGAAAGTTGAAAACTTAACTGATCGAAGGTGACTAAAAAATTGCAATATTTGCAGCCGAGAACGAAACTCTCCATATGTTATGGCAGTTTTGACGCTCACTAAAATAGCAGATGTTCCAAAGCACATGATGTTGAGTAGCATGTGTTCCGAGTGACCGATAAAAGTGTCACCCAAAACAATTCTAATAATTTCATCTTGGACGAGTGCGATTGTCAGAAAACGAAGGCAAGTCAAAAGGCAGTAGAAACACAGAAAAAAGTTTCCATAAATTTTAACTGCATCAACCTTCTTTGACTGGGAATAACCATTGAGACAGATCCAAGTCGATTTACTGACTTTTTCAAGTTTATCGAAAAGCCTGACCAAGTCATCAGGTTGACACTTGTTATCAATCAATTTCCAAAATTGACTCATCAAGGAAACTCGGTGAATCTCGATCAGTCAGATAAACTCATTTCATTCGAATTCAAAGTTGATCTAGAAAATGAATATTGTTTAAACTTTTTCCTTCTCGTCAGACTCTCGACTTTTAATGACTTAAAGTTTGGCAAAACTTTATCTGCGTATCCAAATTAATCGATGAAATGAAAAATCTTCCATTGAAAGAGATCAAAAAATGAACTCAGTTCCTAACTTTTTTCATCGATCCAAGAATTTTGCAATTTTGTTGGTTTAATTTTAAACAATGAATCAAGACTTGTTCAGATAATCAATTGAATATCAATTTCATTATAATTATTTGACAAAACCTTTGCTCAAATAAATTCAATAAATTATCCATTTGGCCTTTTCACCTTCTTTCCCTTTCAATGTTTGACAAAAAAATTCCAAATTCCTCTTCAGGTTATCATCGATTTTGAATTTCAATACTCTTCTCATGAAGTATTGTCAGAAAACATCAAACTCGCTCATTCCATTCTTCAATCAATATCCGTCAATCACATTTTTGTTCATCAATTTTCAATTTGCTTTTGAGCAATTTTCGTCTTCATTCCTTTTGTCTGCCTTCTTCCCTTCTTATCCCAGTTTTCAAATAATGTTAACAAGTAACAACTTTTATTCAAAAAAAAGAGTTTCTCGTCTTCCCTCAAACCATTATCATCCATTGTTTCACCTTTACTTTTCTCATCCAATTGTTCATCATTTTTCCGCTGAATCTCATCATTACCATGGAATGCTCATTGAAGCTGATAAGACAATCCAATCAACTCAACATTTTCACACTCCAACTAATCACTTCATTTGATCACATGCAACACCCAAAAAAAAATTGACTCAAACTTGAATATTGAATCGGTTGTGAGCATTTATCAATTTTAATGTTGATAAAGTCAACTCCTAATTGAAGAGTAAAGGGAAAAAAACACAAAACAAAGTGATTCAGCATTCATTATCCAAGCATCATGAAACTTTTTTTTTCTCCACCAAAGAAAGAAAAAAAGTTGTTCAACATTGAGAGAAAACTAAAGTAGCAAATGAACATGCAAACTCACAGAATTGAAGAGAATCACAGGAAGGGAAGAGGAAGAAAAAGAACAAAATATCTTTTTCTATCTCTTTTTATAATCACCAATCTGTTAACGTTTAATGATAGCACAGAATCTTGAATAAGAAGAAGGAGCAAAAAATGATATTATTATCATCATTTAGAGTTGGAATGATATGCTGAAAAGGGAATCGCAAGGAAATGCAAGTTGAAACGTCAATTTGATGACAAGTTTGACATTATAAATCCTCAAGTAAAATCACTTAACCTAAACCTCTTCTCTGTCTACAGCAAAACCTTCATCACTGAGCATATAAAGAGTAATTGAACCGGGAAAGAGCAACTTGGCAACTGGTAAAGGCAAGAAAAGAGCAAGACTTTTGTTTGTTTAAGGAATCAAAGTTTATCTGAATTTAAATATTGCTGAACTTTTCTGATTTTTGCCAACCAGTTTCTGTTTCCATTGTAACAGGAAAAAGAGTGAAAAGGGAAAAAGGTATGTTACCATTATTACATGGGAAAGGAAGAAGTTGACGACGAAAGAAAAAAAGAAAAAGTAAAATTGGAAAAAAAGGCAAAAAGTTTCAATCCAAAGTAAGTGTTGTTGTCAGTTTTGGTAAATATCAAGCAACTTTGAGTCCATTAGAGTCAAAGGTTGTCTCAAGTATATTTAAGTTTATCAACCTTGCAAGCAAATAAGCAAACCAAATGGACTAATAATGGTAATGTGCAAAATAAATAACAAAGACTTTGAGGGTCAGTCCAAGACGATGTTCAAGATTAATTTATTAAAGGAAAAGTGACCAAAGTGGAAACATATTTATTCATTCTCAAAGTTTTTCCTCCAACGAAATGAAACATTTGAGATAAATTTCATTTTGTATCTTTTCCAGGGAAAATTGAGTCTGGTTGATAATCTGTTATTTAAATGTGGAGAGCGACTTGAATTTTTCAATTCATTATTGTCAAGTTTTCCATCAACACCAAACTTCAAGATTAACCTTATTAATATTCAGTTTCAAACGCAATAAAGATGATGATGGAAAAGTGAATGATGAAAGAGTTTGATGAATAATCAATTTAGTTGATGCCAAAAATTGGTATTAAACTGTTTTTTTCTTCTTCTTCTTCTTTGTCAACTTTTTCTGGTTAATGTTGTTGTGTTTATTGCATTAAATTGTGATGAAAAGTGTTTGGATAAAATGTCTAATGATGATGAAAAGTAGTCTCGTAAGTTGAGACAAAGTGAAGAGTGCCATTATGCACAAGACTTGATAATGAGAATCGAGTGTAAATATTATTTTATCTGCAAGTGCACCTTGAATCTTCATTTTCGTCATCAGTCTGTTTAAAGGTGCAAAATTATTCAGTCTCTTTTGTAACTCAATAAGACGTCTAATGAAAGTCTATGTTTTTTCCTGGTTTCGAGTTTTGTGCCTTTTCCATTTCAACTCTTTTCCATCATTTTTTCATTACGAGTAAATGATGACTTGTTTTTTTTCATTGCAATATTTTTTGGTCGAAAAAAAATTTATAAATTGTTCCAAAATAGAAATGTTTGATGCTGGTTCTTTTTTATCTTCCTCTTTGGGAAGTGAAAGTTATTAATAGGATAATAGAGACGAAATTTACGATTATCTGTATCAACTGGAATCATTTCATTTTGTTTGCTAATGTTGAGCTTACAAGTCATCAAGAGTGTTGATTTGATGGTGAGTTGAGTTGTCAAGTTTAGTTTATGCTAGATTCAACCCTTTATTATGAAGCAAATTTTTCATGCACTTGAAAGTTAATTATAATCATAACGAAATGATGTTGAAGTGAAAGGAAACATCAAGTAGAATATTTTTTTTTCTTCATCTTCTTTTTCACTCTTTTCTGTTTTCAGGGTTTTGCTTGGATGAAAAGAATGATGAGAAAAAGTGAAAAAAAGTGAAACTCCGAAGGCAAATGGGAAGATAATTGTGGTTCATGTTAATTAGTTGTTGTTGATGGAGTTGCTGATGATTATGATTCTGTTGAAAATGAAAGTTGAGGAAAAGGTGGAAATGAAAATACAATAAATTTGTGCAATTGAAAAGAGAAACTTTTTTTTCTCATTTCTCTTTACCAAAACTCGAAAACTTTGATTTCCCTAAAAATATATTAACAAATAATTTTCCATCAAATGCACCTTTAACAAACCAAAACTCAATCCATGAACATCAAAAAACATGATTTATTGTGAAACGAAAAATCATTCAAATGACGGTTCGAATGGAAAAGATTATCGAAAATTCGGAGTGAATTTACTCCCAGTTGCTGAAACTCCAATCAATGAATTTTTTCATGTTAAGTAATTAAAAAGTGTGAAACTCGAATTTCTTAATTTTCTAATTTCTCATGAAGTTTATGATTAAATGGATAATTAAAATTGATAAATGTTGCGATTAAACAAAAAATTAATCAAATCAGATGCGCTTTTTAAAGTTTGATAGCACATTGGTGTAACTGAAAGTCTTATCGCTACAATTCCCTGTTGGATTAGAGATTGAAATTTGTTGGGTCGACAGAGAGAAAAGAAAATTAACTAATAACAAGTTTAAAGACAAATTGCGGGTAAAATTAATGATGTGAGAGATGAAAATATCTATTAACAGGGAATGATGTACAAGCTGGGAGGGAAATGATGAATAAGCTGGTTATTTCTTATTCAACGTAAATGAATTATTCTTGTCTCTTTAATTCAATGATTGTCAACAGAAGTAACAAAATCTCTAAAAAATAATCTTTTGTTTTCAAAGTTATTATTATCACAACAATTATCGATTCCCTGTTCTTGGAGTGAAAATTGTGTCAAGTGTTGAGCTAAATAGCAATCAACTTTTCCCTTTCAATTTAGAGCACACAATTAATCAAATCATCAGTGAAAAGAAAATGTAGAAAAGAGAAAGAAAATGAATGAACAGATGATTTTGTGATATCATATTGTTTAGTAAAGTTGAATGAAACAGAGTTTTATCAATGAAAAAAAAACTTTTATTGAAAGCAATTTCTTCTTTTCTTCCAATTTGCATAATTTCATAACATTCATTATCATTGTAGCAAAGCTGGGAGTGAAAAGTGTTATAACATAATTACAATCAATGTTGCATTTCAATTGAAAGTTTCAATTTCGTTGAATATCAAAGAATAAGATTTTCAGTTTAAAGAAGAAGATTCAACTTTAAATGTAAATAATTGTCAGGCAATAAAAGAAGTTCATTTTTCCAATTTTCTCTCTTCCATTTGAATATTCAAACGTGAGTCTCACAAGTAAAAACATTCATCAAATGTCAAACCTTTAAACTTGCATTTAAGTTAAATAAAAGTAAAGTGTAAAATGGTAAAGTTGACATTGACAAACAGCTTCCCTGACCACTTGATATTGCAACATTAGTCTGTGTGTTTGAGGTAAAATGCGATGAATTTTAATGTTGAAAGTGAATGGATATTAAAAAGAGTTTATCATTGTCATGTAAACAGTTCGAGTTTATCATTTTCCATTTCCATTAATGTATATTATTTTTGCTGTTTCTCAATCTCTCTGGATATAAATGGATGGTTAACCCTGTCTGGCAAATGGTTGTGTTGAGAAGAGTTGAGATGGCGAGCAAAACTAGAAATTTCGTTGTGTTGCCCTTTTACTTTGAAGGTTTCAACGTTGAATGATGAACAAGCGGATGATAATGATAATGATGAAGCAAAAACCATTTAATATTGAATAATGATTGACCGTTGGTTGAATGAGCTGAAAAATTGAACATGAAAAGGAAAAGAATGAGAAGAGAGCGAGCAAAAAAAACTATTCTTTTCTTTTTTGTGTTGTGTTCGATTCCGAGTGAAATGTTGACAATGAATGATTATGATTCATAAAGCAAAGTTTTCCACTCTGTTTTCCGTCATTAATCTGTCACATTTTCATTGAACGGTAAACATAATAAGAGTCGAGAATTCGTAATTTTTATCCTCATTTTTCTTTTCTTTTTTTTACCATCACTTTTTTTTCCTCTTTTGCTCTTCTTGACTGTTGAGCTTAATTTGAAAAACCAAAATTATTGTTGTTCTCCTCTTGTTGTCACTATCACTTAGCATTCTGTTGATGCTGTGAGACGCTTTTCAACATTTCATCTGATCAAAAAGCTTTTCCTTTTCTTTACCTTTTCCCTCTCATTTCGTTACCTTTCAATTGTTGGCTTTCACGAAAAGAGGCAAAAAATGGAAAAGGAAAATATTTAAATGTTTTTCTCACCACAACACGGAATGATAACCCTTTTATTCCGAGTAATTTATCTTTATGATTTAACAAAGAAAAGGAAAAGATTAAAAAAATGACACTAATAATGATGAATTGAGCTAATTTTTGATTCCAAAATTCATTCATTCCATTCTCACTTTTATTGTCGTGGAAATGTCGAAAGTTGAGAATCGTAAAAATGAAGTAAAGTGCAAAGTAAAACTTTCACTTCATTCCATTCAACCAACTCGGAATGAAAGATGAACAGTTAATCAAATTAATCAAACAAATTGAAACAATTTCGAGAAGTTCAACAGATTCATTATTCATTTCGAATGCTAATTGAATGATGGAAATTATTACCGATGGAATTGCATCGTTTCTCATCTTTAATTTTTCAACAGATTTGTTCAATTAGAAAATGCTTTGCAAAATTATTCCTTGAAAGATTTGGGATAAGATTGAAGTAGAGTTGCAATGCTGTTGCATAGCAATTGCTTGTTGCTCTTAATTGGGTCACAATTTTGAGCAACAAAACTATTTCTATCGATAGCCTTATTCGAGCAATGACAAGATTAAAGAATAACAAATCGACTCATCAAATTGAAATGCTTGTTGATTGAAACTCAAAAAAGCAGAATAACCTTCTGAACAAAACCTTTATTAATCCATTTTATGCCATAAAACGAGTTAATTTGCTTAACAGCATCTGGTGCATGACTTGAATCATAAATACTTGCAATCTATTCTCATTAAATTAGTCATTGACTTTATTAAACCAACTTCAGGTGTTGAATCGGCGTAAAAGTAAGCAACTGATATAAAAAAGTGAATAATCAAAGTCGATATTTTTCTCGATACAAAAAACTCAATCTCGCCAAATGTATTTACTCATCACACTAATATTGGAACAAAAACAGAAGCTAAAAAAAGTTATCTTATCTGAATGTTTTTCTTTTTCTCCATGAGATGAACATTGAAACAGCTTGCAAGGTCAATGAATCAGTACGAAATGAAGAGAGAAATAAAACTACTCAGAAAATGCTGATTAGTGTTGGTGCAATTGGAAATGGTTAAGAAGAGAAGAGATGGTTAAATGTAGAGATGAATTTTGGGCTTGAAAAGAATGAGAAATGACCATTATGTCCAGTTTCCATAAAGTAATAAAGTAAAGAGTAATAATAGCAAATATAAATATCGACAAATAAATGGAAAGAAAAAGCAAGAGAATCAAGAGAAAAGGACAAAAGTAAAATGGAAGCAGCAACAAGAAAGCGACTCAACAAGTGAGCTATTAACCTTAACCTTTTATCTTTAATATCAAGATATTCTTGGTAAATAATTTTCTTCATTTTTCTTCCTCTCATTCCCTTTCTTTTCCCTCCCTGTAAATATAATAACTACAAGAATAACTGAGCACACTTTATATGTACCCAGTTAGATGTGAAATTGAACAAACTCTTTTTATCCTGAATATTAGTCGATCTGTATTATGAGAGAGAGAGAGTAAAAATGATAAAGATAATGATTGAAAAAGAAGGAAACTCAGATTACATTAAAAGAAGATGACGGCCATGAAAAGAGCTTGGAAGATGTAAAAAGCTTTTCATCAGATTGATTCAGGAAAAGAAAGAGAGAAAAGAGAAGAAAGATAAGCTCTTCTTCACTGGGAATGAAAGAGTTTGGACAAAATGATGATAATGATGAGAAGCATAATGAGCATGAATTAAGTGAACTAAATAAGACCATCAATCAGATTAAATGGTTGAAACCGCGAGCTTCAAAGTAAATAATTGCTAATCGAAAGTGAAATCGTCTTTTCTTCAATCAAACAATCCAATTGTCTTTCAACTTTTTCTCCTCCTTTTAATTCCATTCATATCTTGAAATGTGAAACTGCAAATGGGAACATCGTCATTCTCAGATGATTGACAAATGTCGCCACTTTTATTGCATTTATCATGAGAAAATGTCATTTCCATGAAGAGAACTTTTGTTCCATCAAAATTGATGATTAAATTTGGATAAATTGATTAGCAACTTAGTTTGGAAAAAACTTTGGTTTCGCTCAAACTGAACATGTTTCGATTATCGAATTAACGCTTATTCCTTTTTAAACATTTTTCTTCTCTTCTTATATCAACAGGTGTAAACATTGTCAACTGTTTAATGCCTCGTAATTGATGGAAACAATAATCATGTAAAAGGCTGCAATTGGATTCATGGCACACATTGACTTATTGGATGAAAATTGACGAAAAAAAAGAGAAAACATTTTTTGTCTTTTCTTTTTCATCCCTCGATTACTTTCCACATTTCTCATCATTCGCATTATTGAATCTTTAATCTTTCAATTTAACCTTCTTTTTATATCTTCATCTCTCCTCTCATCCAACGAATTGTCCTAATCGTTTTCCTCGAATCAAATTCTTATAAATATAATTGGATACCTTTTGTTGTTGCTCTTGTTGTTGTTGCCACTGATGCTCATGCTGTTGCTATTGTTGTTATTGTTACATTTTGAAAGCTTTTCATCTCTACATCTTTCGATTTTTTTGTATCAAATTAACGTCAAATTTGTAATCTGATTTCATCCATTTCTTTTGCACTTTTTCAATCTTGTTTCTCCATTTTGCCTCATATCGAAACAAATTGTCTTTTATTGGACTGATTTGATTGAGAGGAAGGAGAAGGCGAACCAACAAAAAAAAAGTAATTGCAAGACTTATGGACAACTCAAGAGTCGAATTTTGACTTTTGGCATTTTCGCAAGTTTCGGCTTTTGGTAAACCTTTTGTTTTACACTTGTCAAGTAAACTGTTGGAAATGCAAATGATGGGAAAAACTTTGAAAGGTTTAAATGGTTACGTCTCATTGGGGTCATCATGTCAACTCAAGTCGAACATTATCTTGCTGGAAAACTGGTTCTCTGGAATTGATGATAAACATTATGAGGATGATGATGGAAATACTAACTGATAAACGATTGGTATTTGTATTTACAAGTGAAACTCGAAGGGAATCACGAAAGAAAAGGAAACTCCGTCGAGAGGGTAAAGTACAGAAGAGAAAGAAAGAAAGAGTGAGAGTGAGAAGAGAGATAAAGAAGAAGAAGATAAAGATATAGAAGAAGATGATTGGGGCAGCCGCAAGTCGTCATTTGAACAGTCGCCGTCGAACCTCTTCTCCCAATGTTGGCATAACACTTCAAGTTCCATCAGAATCACGGTTAACGATAACTCGTGAAGAAGACGAGGAAAGTGAAAAGGTAACTAAACATGATCATTATCATCATCAACATCAAACAAGGATCAACATTGGCTTGGATAATAATGATGATGATGAAGATGGTGATGATGGCCATGAGAATGATGATGATGATGATGATGGAGAGGATGATGAAGATGATGAGGATGAGGAAGATGGAAGGGATAATGTTGGAGTAAAAGGAAGGAAAGCAACAGCAGCAACATCAACAACTTCAAGGAATAATATCAATGTTAAAACATTTAGTGTTTCAAGTGATAAAAATAGTGATAACAATGCCCAAAGGAATGGTTTAAACAATAGATCAATCAATTTTATTAATAATAGTAAAAGTAATCATAAAAATACCAAAGGAAAGGAATATAAAAGTGATTTAAATGGTGACGATTGTGATTCAAAGGATTATAGTTTTACACCCAAAAAGGAATTAAACTCTTCAAGTGCAACAACAAGTGAACGAATCTCTTCCACTGCAACCTTAAAGGTACCCGAAGATGGGAAAAGGTCACGTTCATCGTCCTTCTCTCGGCCCTCCATAAGTAGTGATATTCCTCCAGCTAATCATTTGAGGCGACGTCGAGCTGTTGAGATATCGGATCACAAAGCGTGTGTGCTTCTTCATTCAAAGTTGAAAGGGATGAAACTTGAAGACATTGCGTGAGTATAAATATTGATAATTGCGTCTTTCCTCAAACTCCAACCTTTTCCTTCGTTCAGTGCTTTTTAAAATTGGCTTTCTTGGTTCAACAATAAATATGAATTTTCATCGAGTTTGCTGTTGAGAAAATGTTGATTTCCTTGGAATCGCATTTTTGCAAAAAATAGAAAATTGAAACCATGATTGGAAAGTGCCAAATGCCAAGTGAAATGTCAAAACCTTTTGAAATTCAACTGTTGAGTGTTTCAATGAAAATTAAAAATGAATCAATTTGCCAAATGTGCTCCTTTTGCGATGTGCTTTAATGAAAATTATTATTCTTCGATCTCTTCGGCGGAATCTCAATTTGAATATGATCAGAGATTGATGTTGCCATTCTTGACTCCCATTTTTCTGCCTTCGATTGCAATTGTAACAAAAACAATTGCAAATGTGAGTTTTTACAATATGCAAGAGAAAGTGAGTCGCAAGAACGAAAATAAACTTTGAAATATCGATGGTGTGACAATTATTGCAAGGCTGATTCTCAGTGAATTTTGATGCACAAAATGTTAGTCCAATTTCGATATCATACCAACATCGAACTGCAAAAAATAACCGCTATTTGATCTTCCAGCACCTTTTTGTTCAATAACCAAAGCCAGCTTTAAATTGTTCAAATGCTTTCTCCGGCGTTTTCTTCTAAGAACAAACTGCAAAAGAAAATTTCAATTCCTTGATTTCGCTAATCTAATGACCAGAATAGGCTAAGAGTTTAATCGCAACCTTTTTGGCTTTGCGCCTGAATTTCAATTTTTAAAGCCAACAAAAGTGTTGAAATGAGCAGCTGATTCAACGCTCTCGTTTAGCATTGTTTTCATTATTTTCAAGTTTTTCCTCAATAAATTGATTCAAAGCATGAACAGAAAGATTGTTTAGGAAGGTTAAACATTTCAACACTTATTGTCATGAAACGTTTGATAATTGAACATTTGTTATTCACCAATGATGAATGAGCTCTCTGATCATATCTACACCATGTGGTAAAAAGAGAAAATAAGGGAAAATAAAGAAAAGATGAAAAAATGTCAATTGAATTGTTATAATGAACTCTCCCAGATGGCAGCATCCAAGTGTTACCCTGGTATTCAATAGAAGCTGCCATCTATGACAGCATTTGAAAAGTGAAATGAAATTTTGCTTCTCCCAATCGGTTTTTACTTCGTTTACATTCATGTAACCATTTGAACTTCAGGCTTAGGAAGCTACTTTCTATTCCCTTTCCTTCCATCACTACGAATACCTTATCTGAATGTTAAATCAAAGTTCCCGATTCCTTGGAAGCCAATTTTATTAATGCTGGACAATCTTATTTTTGTAACAGTGAAGCCCACCACCGCACTATCCACTTTGTCCAAATGTGATTAATTACTTTTCCATTAGTATCATTTTTACTCCCAGTTCATTCTTTCTCCCTCTCTTTTTTCACTTCACCTCAATCTCCATCTTTACAACCAGTATCAACCATTATCAACATTTACTCTTGTTGTTTCCCTTAAAACCTTTAGACTTCTTTCAATCAGCTACGGTGCTAACGTTGAAACCTCTAATAATTATGGGGAAAGTGGAACTGGACCAGGCAATTTAAGCCAAGCAAGTAAAATGGCCAAAAGGAAAGGACCCTCCACGGAGGGTGGGAAGGGTCCTAGCTCATGTTTCATACTGAGTGAGGACAACTTCCTAAGACGGAATGTGAAGGCCTTTACAGAATGGTCAGTTTTCGAATATGCAGTCCTTTTGACCATCATTGCCAATTGTGTTGTACTGGCCTTGGAGGAGCATTTGCCCGAAAAGGATAGGACACCTTTAGCTCTTCAATTAGTACGTTTACCTTTTTCAACTTTTCTCCTTCTCTGCATTCTTTTCTTTTCGCACACACCTTTTCAACCTTTCAAATCAATTCTTCTTCTAATTTCCTCTTTTTTCCAACCCTTATCAAATCGTGCCACTCATCGTGCTCCAGGATAAAACGGAACCAGTTTTTTTAGGCATATTTTGTGTAGAAGCTTCTTTAAAAATTATTGCCTCTGGCTTTGTACTGCACAAAGGATCTTACTTAAGAAACGTTTGGAATATAATGGATTTCGTTGTCGTTATAACTGGGTAAGTTTCACCTTGTTTCAATTCGCTATTGTAATTGATATTCATCTATAATTAGCACCTATTAATATTATTAATATTGATTTGTCGAGAAGAAAAATAAAAAATAATCCAAAAACAATCCCAATCCCATTTGGAATGAAAATTCCCTTTTCGTTTGTTTCTCCTTCCCAACTAAATGCCAACAATCGAGTTGATTGAATTTTCATTGTTTAACCATTTCTCTTGGAAAACAAGTTTTGAAGAAAAATTTAATTGCAAAATTCAATCAATTCAATGTTTATTCCTAGTTCTAATTAGTTCTAATACCGATTAACCAAAAGTAACTTTTAGTCATCTTAACCCATTAATATTAGTGAGTTATTTTTGGTTGATCAAGATAGTTCCTAAGCTTTAGATTTAGATTTAATTGTAGTTTTTATCAATTAACTTGATTCGCTCCCAATTTGAAAGGTAATGCATAAGTGCATCAATCAATAGAGAAAAAGGTAGAAATGATTGATTGAAGATGAAAGTAGTGAAAAGTGTAGTCATCTTGAGTAAACGATTAAAAGCGATTTCTGCCAACTCTGCTTTCCTGTGCATGAAAGTTGATGCATTGAAATATCGAGGAACGCATTTTGCATGGCGATTGACAATCTGCAAAATAGTTAACCAGCGACAAAATCAATGAATCAGTTCATAGATGAAACCAGGAATGATTAAAGGCAGGAAAACTTGCAAACTCTTTCCATGATTGCAATTATTCAATGATACTAATCAGTTTAAACCGACTTGTTCGATATCGTCAAATCTCTTTTTTCTTTCCTCTCCTTCAATGGTCAATATGGAAATGAAAACATGAATTTTCAATATCATGCAAAAAAAACACTTTAATCACTTATCAGGCTTGTCAACAAAGCCGTGGAAGGAAGTGAAAATTTAGACCTGAGAATGCTACGATCGTTTCGAGTTTTGCGTCCGTTAAAAGTAGTTGCTCGGACTCCAAGTAAGTTCAACTGTTTTATTCTTCGTCAATCAAACAATCTTTTCTTTCTGACGATGTGAGAGTGAAGAGAAAGTGCGAACCAAAACACTAATCAAATTGAATTGGGAGTGAATTTTTGGTACTTTTATTACCAACAAAGCATGAATTTAACATTATCAACTTGTATAACATATTATTAACACTTGAATAACACTACATTTAATCTCTTTCATTTAACCTGAAACTCGTCAAAAGCTAAACGAACTTAAATGGAAAATGAATTTCTTTTTAGATTTTCCATAGTTTCGTTTATTCGTATAATGGGATGAATATATTTTGTTTTGGAAATACATTCAACTCATCATTTGGAACACAAATTAAAACCTAAGATGAACGCGTTATTTGTTGTTGTGTTTACTGTTAACTCCAGACGAAAAGGTTGTCATTGTCCTGAGACGATTTTGGTTGTAACTTAACATAAATATTTCACGAAAGCTTTTCTTGCCTTTCTCGTCTTCAGTTCCGTGACGACCTTTTCTCATTATTTGAGCAAAATTAATTTTTAACTCTTTTATGAAACATTTGTCATTGATAGTCCAATCGAGGTCTAACTTTGGCCTGCTTTGCTCTCCTTACTATCAAAGGCTATTTATAGTCACTTATTGTTAGATCAGTGAAAATGATCACATTACAAATGCTATCAACACTTGAATCAATGTTATTGTACAGAAGTGTAAGAAAGAGAAAAATGTTTCTCGAGTTCAATCTATTCAATTAGTTAACCTCCAGTAATGCTAAACAAAAATGTAATTTATTTCTATTGCCTTTAAGTATATCATTAGTGAATATTATATGTTTATTATTAGTTTATTAGTACTAGAAAATTGATTGAAATGTTTAATTTTACTTTTAACTTTTTCTATTTTTAATAACTTTTCGTTCGTTTTATATTTCAATGAACATGTCGTGTTTCAAAAGCGATTTCAAACAATATTTGGATAACACTTTTCAACTTACATCTTTTGCTAAATGAAATTATATTTTCGATGTGTTTGCAATGTGTTTAAGTTCACACTCGCTATCCAATAGCTATTTGGATGATTGCATTTAAAGTACAAAAGTTTAGGCTTCAATAACAATAGACTACCGAACTCTTTGGACTCAAGAATCCAAAAAGTCATTGGAGTCACAGCTCAAAAAAACACGTTTACCAAGCATTCATCTTCATTATGAGTTTACTAAGTTTTCATTCACCTGGCTCACTTCGAAAATTTACTTTCCTTTACAAAAGACTTTATCGAAGATTAAAAGTCTGCGAACTGCAAATCGACTTTGAAACACGATGTATTCCTAGCTTAATTTTGCGCACTTAAAAATTACTTTTAATAAAAGATCGACTTCAAATTTTATTAATTTAAAATACTTTTATGCTTGCAATAAACTTGTAATTTAGTTACTGAATGTTTTCGCGTTTTCGTTCATTTTATGCTCTCTTTGCTTAATTTTTATTTTCATTTAAATTTTTTGTTTAATCAATGATTTTTGAAAATTTGTCGTCGCATCCCAACAATTGATAGGTTTATCACCCTATTACCTGATGAAATCCTCGATTTAGGAATAGATTTGAGAACCCTGAGAGCCATTCGAGTGCTTCGACCTCTTAAACTGGTTTCTGGTATTCCAAGTAAGTAGTGTGATAATCCTAAGAGAAACAAGAACGAAGAGCAGAAACAATGACAAGTACAAAAAACAAAAAGAAGAATGAAAAGAAGGAAAAAAAACATTTTCTTTCTCCGATTCATGTATGCATAACATACGAATATTTATTTATAAATTTATACTCAAACGTTGCTTGGCTTCGCTGCAACCAAAATATTTATTAGAAGCATGACCAATCCAAGTTATCTCATTTTGTTTACTCTCTCACTTAAACTCATAATAGTTATTTGATTGTTTCCAATGTTATTAACAGTTTTTTTCACTTTAATATCATTTTCTGTTCCAACATTTCAAGTTGCAAATGAGCGAACACAATGGAAACTCAAAGTCTATCAATGATTAATTGATGATTAATTAGCATTGAAAGGATAAAGAGTAAATTGAAAGTTGAATGTTGAAGTTGTTTTCAATTGTAAACAAAACGAGACTAAATGTGAAAAGTTTTTCATCGTCAAAACAGGATTGACGCAATTGACAAGAAACAAGAATACAAATGATTGCAATTTATTATCAATGAGCATTTCAATGAATGATTTTACATGAATGGGAAGTTTCAATTTGAGAGTTAATCTTGATTCATTTTCATTGAGACTTTTGATTTATTCCCTTTTCATTGCATCTTCAATTGCTTCTTCCAAGGTTGATTGTCTGAATGTAGAATAGATTATCGGAACGAGAATAAATGCTCAATAACCTTGCATTTGATAGAGTATTCAGTTTACGCTATTTTCCGGTTTTTCTCAGTTGTTCTTCCTTCTTTTATCCACTTTCTTCTTTTTATTTCTAGTTTTCCCATTTCATCATGTTTGAGTAACTTGTATCTTACATTTTACTCATGCTCATTCTTAACCCAAATGTAATAATAATAATAGTAATAACGAAAATGATGATAATTGTGGGAGCTCGCACCAGGAAATGGTTCAAACGAAATTCCCTTTTTTTCTCTCTCTTTTCCACTTTCTCTTTTCTTCTTTTTTTTGGGTTCGATTTTCTGGTCTTTCTTTTTTATACACTTTTTTGCACAATGCTGGTGATGACAAAGGCTAAGAAAGAAAGTCAGAGTAAAAAATAAATATCGATCAACGTTAGCTGTTCCTTCTTTATCACCAGTTTTACCTTTCTTCCCTTTCTTTCTTTTCTTGTACAACTTTTTCCTTCCATCCTTCAAAACTGCTCAACTCTTTATCATCTTTAGCAACATTCTGCTTGGATTGATGAGAAAAGCCATTGACCTAATGAGAGTAAAAGACTAAAAGCAACACTTTCTGAGCAACCTGCGCTTTTACAGTTTCAAATGAAATCGAAAAAAGATTCTTAACCTAGTTTTCACAAATCAAAATCAAGATCATTTGGATTCGAAAACTAAAGACTTTTCGAAATTGCTATTTGTTTCGAATGGTTAACATTGAAAGCAAAAATATCTTCGGTCGACAAAAAATTTGCAAAACAATATTTTCTAGACTTTAAATTAATACATTAAAATTTCGGAAAAAATCTCGAGCAGAACATCAGAAACAGTTGAAAATCTAACAAATCTTTTCATTCCAAGAGCTTGTCAAAATGTCCAGTTTAGTCGATTCAAAATTAAGCTTGAACACTAAAATTTAATTTAGTTTTAATCCAAGTTTCAATCGCATTCTAATATCCATGATTAACTAGCAAGTTCAATCATGAAGTTCGCTGAGGAATCGTGGTTTGTGCATTTTTGAAACGTTTAATAGATTATTGAAACTGAGCAGAAGAAAATGGTTTATCTAGAAGTCAACTTTTCTGACAAATTTTGGGTAAACTTGAGTCTATTGAAAGTGCAGTCGATTTGAAGATGATTTGTAAAGATGTGAAAAGGCATTGAAAGTTAAATTGAATGGGAATGAGCAAAGTCACATTATACTTGTTCACTTGGCCATTTGAATCAGGCTTTGGGCTGCAATCAATGATATCGAGAGGTTGAACATTTCAATGTTTTTTTCACCCTTTTCATGTTTACATGTTCATCTTTTCCATTGGAATATTTTGCAATGCAAATAATTGAATAATGTTATCCATTTAATTTTAGTGATGATATTTACAAGTTTTCAGTTTAGCCATTTTATAACAAAATGTTTTATCCTCTCGAGTCTGAATGTGAATAAAAAGCAAAGTTGATTCCATTGGAATAAATGTTTTCGGTTTTGTTTACTTTCATTTACTTTTCAAATTTAATATCATTACATGTTTAGTTGATACAGATTTCAACACGAATATTTATCTTGAGGGAATTGTTGCTGTTTATTGTTGCAGATTATCATCATTTTTTATTATTTCCACCATTTATAAATTCCTACATTTTCCTTGCTTGGATAAGATAATTGCTGAATCTTTTTCATTGTACATGAAGAGAGGAAGAAAGAGTTACTCAGTTGACCGATAAAGTTGAGCGCAAGTTCACAGAAAATGTTATTGCATTTTTTGGGATTCTTTGGGTTCCATTGAGAGAAGGGAACAAAAACAAAAGTCTAATCACAAGGAAAAGTATTATTTGTGGTGGAAACTTATAGTTGCAAGATTATGATGATAAGGATGAGAATGATGGTGAAACATGGTGAAAACAAGGTTGTTTCTTCCATACTTTTCACTCTATTCAGTTTCAATTTCCTCTTCATTCAGCTGTTTCTTCAGCAAATTGAGGTCAATTATAATCAAATAAAAAAAGGAAATAGGAAAAGAAGAGAGAAGTTTATTCGGAAAAGTTTCATGATAACATTTGGTTACATTTTGGTCAATAATGAAATTGAGAAACTCATTTATCGTCAATCAGTTTTCAACTTTATATTCAAATGTTATTCAAAATCTCGTGATTGTTCGAGTCTGACGAAGATGAGTAACAAAGAAGCAAATGAATGTATTGAAAATGGAAAATAAAAGTTTCAATTGATAATGAATGTAAAACTCTTGGAACAAGGAATCTTGGTGAAGCAAATTTAAAGCATTTTATTGAGAAAATGTTGAACAATGAACAAATGATACAAATAAATCAGAGTAAATGAAAGAGGCGAAGATAAATTGAGAAGAATCTAATAAGTTCAATATTGATATTGATTGGGAAAAGTAATTGAATGATGAAAAAAGGCGATTGAAAGCTATTCAATTACAACATGTTTACAGGAAAGTAATTGAGAGAAACATTATTGAGAAGAAGAGAAATGCTGACGAAAGTTGACGAACGGAAAGAAGAAAGAAAATGCGAAATGTATGGAAATTTCAATTCATTGGCACTAATCCGTCTCTTGTTTCAAACCCGACAGGTCTTCAAGTTGTTCTCAAGTCCATCATCAAAGCTATGGCTCCTTTGTTACAAATTGGTTTATTGGTTTTGTTTGCAATCGTTATATTCGCCATCATAGGCCTTGAATTTTACTCAGGCTCACTTCATCACACCTGTGTTAGCCTTGAAGATTTAAGTAAGTTCATTCATCACAACCTTTCATTGATATTAAAGATTCAATGCATTTCCAAATCGCTGGCAAATCGATCAATTAAGAAACTTTGTAATAACTTTCAAGTTAAACTTTGAAGTAAAGTCGTATTTTGATCAAAGCAAAATTTGAAAAGCAATTGTCTTCAAAAGGGTTTACAAAATGTTAAGCTTATTTTGTCCGATATTATTTGTTTGCCAGGGAGGGAAGAATAAGATTGTGAAATGTAAACATCGATCAATCAAAGTTATTTCATGCATTTCATGAACATAAAGATATTTATAGATTTTATTGCGAAATTGTTCTTTCGAGGTTCTAACTCTTTAACGACATCGTTGAAGCAAAGTACTTAAGTCTTTACATGGCTTTAGTACAAAATGAAATAGAAATGTTATTTAGAAAAACATTGAAAATTGAAAAACCATGAATTGATCGGAAATTTCACCTTGAAAATGATAGTATAAAGTATAATGTTTTTTTCAGTTAATTAAATTCTATTGCAAAAATATTCGAACATATGAAAAGCTGAAAATAAATTTGAATAAAAATGTCTTTTTTTCGTCCATAATGTAAACTCGTATAAAAAATATTGTTTCATTCGTGTGCTGTAATAAGTTTTGGCCAATTGAGTCAACTTGATATCGATTTTTTTCTCCATTTCAATTATTCATCATGATGATGATTGAGCAACATTTTGAATGAAAAAGTTCAACTTTAACTTTATTCTCTTCTCTTTTCCACTCCCTTTTTCCAGCATCGATAATATTAGATGGAGAACAAGAGACTCCCTGTTATTGTGGTAATCCAAGTAATTGTGATGAAATTGAAGAGAAGAAGAGAGACAATGGAGCTCATTTCTGTGATTTAAATATATCTTCCTGTCAAGAAGTTTGGAAAGGTCCTAACTTCGGGATAACTTCTTTTGATAACATCTTTTTCTCTATGTTAACTGTTTTTCAATGTATCACTCAAGAAGGCTGGACTCAAGTGCTTTACTGGGTAACAAGATTGTTCAACAATGTTCATTAATCATTTATAACAATCATTTGTTTCCAATCAAAATTTCCATCAAAAAATTTAACTCTTTTCTTCTTTCTTTTTGCACTCCCTTTCCATTCCTTGACCAATTTAAAACAGATGAATGATGCCATGGGTACCAGTTGGAATTGGATTTATTTTGTCATTCTTATTATTTTGGGTTCCTTTTTTATGCTCAATTTAGTTCTTGGTGTCTTAAGCGGGTAAATAACTGTAAATTTTATCATCTTTTTTTGTTTCGTCTTTTACTTTTTCCTTTTGGACAGTTTATTGTTCATTTCATGTTTTAAAGGTTTAATCAATGAAAAAAGGCTCAAGTATAATGTACAGTAAAGTTTGCAATGGAAAAAAATTTCATTCTTTTGCCAGATAAATGATAATAATAATAACTTTTAGTGTGAATAAGTTTGACAAGAAAATTCAATTCTGTAGTTAAGGGAATAGGAAATGACTGAGGAAAAAAAGGAGAGAAAAAGGCATTCTTTTTCAGGGTTTCTGCTTCACATCAAACTCTATTCCAAGTGAAACAATTGCCTCAAGGAATGAAAAGTATGTTTAACTTGAAAGTTATGTTCATAACTTGAAAATAGTCGAGCTAAAATGTTCAACTGTGAAAAGTAATAGAATCAAGATGTGAACAGAAAAAAAGAGTCAAACTCTTCGATCCAATTTCGTCTATTGAGACTCATTTTTCGGTTAAAATTCAACACAGTTCACCATAAACATGAATTTACAACTTCCAACACCATAATTATTCTCGAATCTTGGACAATCATGGAACTAAATTAGAAGAAATTAGAATTAGATTTATTCCTTTTCTCTAACATGATCGATATAATCTAAACATCAATGCAAATCATTAATAGAAGGAAAAGGAAAACTAAAAGATCGCAGTTTTGATAGGAAAATACAAAGGGTTTCAATTCAATGTTCCAAGAAAATGCTTCGCTAAATCATTCGAAAATACTTTTCTAAAGCATTCAGAATTTCATTTTTCTTTCGTTTTCCATTTCTTTAGAACTCGACTTCTCGAAGTATTTGAACTCAATAGCGAGAGGTTTTTTAGGTTGCTTTTGTAGGAAATTAAATCTGTTTGAAAGAAGCTCTTTCGATGAGTTTCAGTTCGTTATTGGATGGAAAAATTGTCCCATTTTTTATTCGGTGAAACCTTTTCATTTGCAACAAGGACGAGTAAATATTTAGCACAGGAAAGGAGAAAATTATTCAAGTGATAATCAGATGTAAAAACAACAATAATGGCAATAACAATAGAAATAAAGTGATCAAAATATGTATTAATAAATGCATGTCAATCTAAATGGACCTTAACTGAATAATATAAATGATGGTGTTCCTTCAACTCTACCTTTCTCTACCTTGATTCTCTGCTTAATTTTGTTCTGACAGTAAAATATGTTTGTTGACTTGAAATAATAATGATCATAAATGGAGACCAGATATGCATTGAGAGTGAGTGAGACACACATATGCAAACATTTAAAACATGTACCATGAGAAGGACATGGAAACGCAAGTAGAGAGAGAGGAAAACAAGTACAAAAGAGAGAAAAGAAAGAGTAGATCACAACAAAATTTATCGATTTACCGTTACCAGTCAACTGAGAAGAATGCTAATAGCTTTGATATTGAAGCATACTTTCAATCTTACTTTGAATATCACTCAATGTTAATGTAGTCACTCTTTTCATTTTAATATGTTTTTCACTCCAATATTTATTTTCATCTTTCCTTTTTCAATTTGCTTTCCATTTAAAATCGTTTCTCTACTTGCTATTCAATAATAATGTAAACATTATTCCCTGTAAATTTTACTGGACTTTCAATGTAAACTTTTTTCTTTGATTTCGCGTTTCTCAATCTTACAGTTTGAGCATTCTTTGACTCATGAAATGTTGCGCCTTTTTTGAGCAATTATCGAGTTGATGATTATGTTTGATCAAGTTTCTTGAAGAGAATCTAATATTAACTTTTTTCCTTCCTTCAGAGAGTTTGCCAAAGAAAGAGAAAGGGTTGAAAATCGTCAATCGTTTCTTCGATTGCGTCGTCAGGAGCAATTGGAGAGAGAATTGGAAGGTTATGTTGAATGGATAATAAAAGCTGAGGATGTGATTCTTGCAGAAGAGCGGACAACCGAAGAGGAAAGAATACATATAATGGAAGGTAAAATTTTCTATCTGAATGTTGATGCACAAGAAGTTCTCTAATCATCTCGACTTTAAATGTTCTCATGCAGTTAAACGAAGACGAGAAGCGACGAAAAGTAAAAAAGGGAAAAGCACTTTAAGCAAAAGTCAAGAAGATGACGACGAAGAAAATGCCGAAGAAGAAGAGGAAGAGGAAGAAGAAGGTAAGAATAACTTTAATGCAACTTTCATTTTTTTCGTAACGTTTTTTCTCACAACAAACAACAGTGAAACGAATTGATTCATTGGAATAATATCTTCACCTCAGTTCACCTAGTCTGATAAAAGTGTATAAAAAGAAACTGAATAAAGACAGAAGCTAAAACAAAGTAACAATTCAAAGTTGAAACAGTACAAGAACAAAGTTTTTGAAGAAAAGTTTCAAATAGTTAATCCAGTCAAAAGCAGCCTTTTGAACCTAAAAAATAGATTAGAAAAGTTGGAATATCAAATTCAGCCAACTATTAAATCTCCAGGTTGCTGAATTGCCCATTGATAGACCAAGTTGAAATCATCGATTTCGATTATTAAGGAGCGAATGAATGAAAATTTTCGAAAATTTCAAGCGTTTCATCAAAATGTTGAATTTTCCAAAAACATTGAGTTCGAAAAGTAAAAGTTGATTTGATGGAAAATTTGATTTACTTTGTACTAATTTGATAACTAATAACTAATTTGATAATTTAATTGAAACTTTGCAAAATGATCTTCAATCGAGATTTAATGATATCCAAAATTAATCAATAATTCATTTCTTCTTCTTCTTCTTCTCTTTCCTTTGCTCTTTCCTTACTTTATCTAACTTGATGGAAACCAAATGAACCGATAAAAAAATAATGTTAATAAAATAACTTCCTAAGTGCTTCCTAAGAAGGGTGTGCTTAAAGGTATTAATGCTCAAACAAACATTAAATAGTTGAAGTCGCTCAATAAAAAGCAACAACAGCTCGTTATTTATTGTCTTTAGCTGATTTTTGGATTGAATTTTATTTTATTTGCCTTTCCATATTTAATAATTTTGTCTGATATTCTGATTGAGATAATTGTTCTTGATTCAATTTCAAAACGAAAATGCTTTGCTTTTTTATTTCCAATAGATGATTATCAATACAATATTGCGGTCTTGCCATTTATCATTCGCATTTTTAATATTCTTATAAAATAATTAACTCTATCTATTCATTAAATGATCAATATTTTAGCGAATTAAATTTTTCGAAAAAAAACAAAATTCTAATTTCTAAACTTTGTTTGCTCTGCTCTGCCTCATCGGATGAACATTTCATTTCTTTCGTTATCCTTTTATTTTTGCCACTCGAGCATTTTTCTCATTAAAATGCTTGTGTTTATGCATCAAACATGATCTAGATTTGGTTATTAGTTGATTTTGAAAAAAAATTCTTGTTCCTTTTTCCAGGAAAAAAGTTAATCAAAGATTTTATTAGATTATGATTTGATCCGAAAAGGTTTGACAAACATGAAAATGATGAGAATTGCAAATTTTAAAAACAAAAGACTTGGAACTTTGAAATCGATTAAATGAAGAAAGTGTTGAAATTTGAAAATGATTAAAAAATTGCTTCTCTTTTACCTTTAGTCAATTATATTTAATGATGAACAAAATGATAAAATTACGATCCAAAGCTATTTTTGACTTTCAGTGTAATCAGATTACTTGATCAGCATTGAATCCTTAAAATGTATCGACAATTGAATAAATAAATAATGATATGAGAAGAGCGAAAAGGGCAGAATCCAAATATTTTTTCCCTTTACCTTCCCTTCTCAACCTGAGTGCAATAACCTTTACTTTTCTGTTCAATACTAGGCTAATGTTTACCTGTTCAAGTCCTATTGAGACTGTGCGTTATCCAGGTTAACCTTGCATCTAATATTATCTGTTTACTTCAATCTTTTCATTTTCATCATTTTTCCCTTTACATTACAAAGCTTCATGCAAAAGTATCGATATAACAATTTCAACTGTGAAGAGATCTCTCAATGATCAGGGTTTCAACTCTGAGTTTTTTGGTTTTTAATCAATTGACACTCCAGTTCTTAAAGCATAAACGCTATCCGGACTTGGATTTTTCGCTATTGATACATTGAATACTAATTGATTGATGAAAAATCCAAGCTCAGATTTTATCATTACTTTTGCATTGAGCGATACGCTTTATTATTTTCAGATAACAATCTTTATTTTCTGTCTTTCCGAAACTTCCGATTCTGGAATATATTTTTTCTCTTTTACTTTAAGTTCTAACTAATCTCAATTTGACGCTCAGTCCATCGCTCATTATCGATAGAAAAACAAAAATTTCAAGCTGAAACGATTCACATCGAAATGAAAATCCTTTTGATACTTGCATAGTCGCTCAAAGATTTGCATATTTTCTTCTGTTCAAATCTATTTTTAAATGCTCTTTTCTACCCAATCTTCAAAGCTTATTGTACTTTTACAGGTTTCTAATAGATTCGAAAGACTCTTTCAATAGTCGATAGGCTCTTCTTGAATATATCAAAGTTGCATTATCGCAGAATCTCAAGACTCTGTGAAAAGAATCAAAAGAGTGAAGTTATTGATTAATACTTATTTCATCTTATTTTCTCACCGAATTGCGAAAAAAACTTTATTTAAAGATATCGAACTTGAACCTTGCATGAAACAACTTGATTCAAGGTTGTTATTTCAAATCTATCCGAGGCTTAACACGACTAGTCGAGTTTAGAGTCAGGTAATCCTCGAAACTGAAAAACTCGAATTTCGACAGAAAAATTCCCAACTCAATAGAAAAACTTTCTTACAATTAATATTCTGACGAACCCTCAAGACTTACCAAATTTTTCAAATGAAAGGCAAGAGTTTCAATGCAAATTCAGTGCTTATATCCTTTACTTAAACGATGAAAATGTTTCAAATGGAATGTTGAGAGTAAATTACAATTTCATGTTCAAGCTTGCCAATGATCATGATAACTGAATAAAGTTGTTCTAATGCTAAAAATTGAAATTAAATTAGAAAAATTAAAATTTTCTGTTTCCCTGAAAAATTTAATTTTCATTAGTTTATTTTGTTTCAATTGTTGCTACCTTGCTTCTGATTAAATTGTAGTTTATTCAAAGTTGTTGTCCAACAACAAAAGCAATGCTCTAGTTTTAACTCAATTATTGATTCAAATTGAAAACTATTAGTTACTCAATTACAAGCAAAGCTTGACTTTTACTTTTATTTTATTACATTTATTTTGTAAACTTAGTTGTTTAATTTTGTGTTTAAATGAAAGTGAACATGATGATGTATATTAAATAGATGGTCTTGTTGATTAATTGGAACGCAATTATAACCGTAGCTTGGAATGAATTCAATTCAATTATTATTTTTGTAACTATTTTTAGAACTTAATACTTTTCTTTTTTTTATTGCAATCTTGATAAATATTGAATATCGTAGCAAAACGTTTTACTAATGAAAATTTTCGTTCTTCTCTTTCTTCTTCCCTCTTTTCTCTCTTTTTGTCATTTCTTTTTGTTTCAATTTGTTACTCAATGTTACCTTTCCGTTGTTCCTCTTTGTTTGCTCACCTTGTCCTTCGTTACCTTTTCCTTGGTTCGCATTTGTCAATGAAAATGTTTGATTCTTTTCTTGATCAAATATCAACGTTCATCAAATCAACCAAATCAAACATTTGGTTCTAATGCTTCATCAAATGGGATTTGCTTTTGTGTCACACTATTAATCGACACTAATAATAACTTTGCACTTGATTATATTGATTGGTTCAACTCTGTAAAATGAAGGATTTGCTCGAGCTTCATATCTTCACTCAAAGATTAAAAATCGAGGAGCTTGTAAGGCTTTCTGGAGGACAGAGAAACGTGTCAGGTAAGTTTAGTTGTCTTTGGCCAGTTGGCTATTGAAACCTTGAAGGGTTGATTGGAACATTGAGAGTGACGATTCGACTCGAGTTCAGAGCTTTGACCGATGGTTTTATCGAAGAAAATTGGAGTTCAAAATGAAATGGAAAATTGGTCAAAATTGCAATTTCTAATTATCAGAGAAAGGATTTTTGACAACTTTCAAGTGCTTGTTATGGTTGGAAATGTTGAATTCAAGGTTTCAATAGTTTGCATTTTCGGTGAAATAATGATTGGAATTTTTCTTTCGCTCTTTTAGATCGTCTGTACGGAGAGTGATTAAGTCGCAAGCTTTTTATTGGTTTGTGATTGTATTAGTTTTTTTAAATACCGTTTGTGTTGCTGTTGAACACTACGGTCAACCTCAATTTGTGACAGATTTTTTTTGTGAGTAACATTTTCTTATCAATTTCAAGTCTTTATCTATCAAATAAACTTGAAAAACCAGTATATTGTTTAATCGTTTAAATGATGAGATATGGTGAGAGAAAAGTTGAGGGTAAAAGCAAAGACTAAAGAAGCGTGGTTTTGCTCTTTGAGGTTAAGTGAAAGTCAAAGAGCAACGCTTACTCTCTTGGTGCCGAGTTTATTCAAAGAAAAGATCAAAAAGGATTAAATGGAAACATGGAAAAGTGAATAACTAAGCCTCTTCAAAACTAGTGTCAAGTGTCCAAAAGGTCAACCCTAACCGAGATGCTTCAATATCAACTGTAAAAGGACTGATGAGACCATCCGATGCCAATTTTACCCTTGAAAGGATCCAAATTGGATAGTGTCCACCATCTCCACCATTGAGATGAATATGTGCCAATGGATTAAAAATGAAAAATTGTTATTCAACAACCGCCAGTGTTTTGTGCTTCACCACCGAACATCATGAGTGTCTACTTTTCAAATTTGATCAGCTTTGGATTTTGCTTCATTTTCTCTCATCATGTCTTGTCCACTTCGATTGGCAACTGAATTTCTACTCAATAGTTAATACATTTTTTTCTGTCCTTTTCTTTTCCACCCTCAACATGATTCCTTTCAACAGTTTACACTGAATTCGTATTTCTGGGTTTATTTATATTTGAAATGTTTTTAAAAATGTACGCACTGGGTTTTACAACTTATTTCAAATCAGCCTTTAATCGATTTGATTGCATTGTAAGTAACGAGACTAAAAGTTGAAAACAACAGAAGCCAAAAGTTGGTAAATTTTTCATTTCTTTTCAATTAATTTTCCTTTGTTTATCCAGGTCATCTCTGGAAGTGTTTTTGAAGTTATCTGGGATCATTACAAGGGAGGATCTTTCGGATTCTCTGTACTTCGAGCTTTACGTCTACTGAGGATATTTAAAGTTACAAAGTAAATATAAAAATGAAAAAATCACTTTTTTCTCATCTAATGTAAACTCCTCTTTAAACTCTAGGTATTGGTCCTCATTGAAAAATTTGGTTGTCTCTTTGTTATCATCTATGCGATCCATTATTTCCCTTTTGTTTCTTCTCTTTCTTTTCATCTTGATCTTTGCTCTTCTCGGTATGCAACTTTTCGGTGGAAAGTAAGTTTCGATTGCTGAACCAATTTTGCAATTAGGAAGCAATTTACTGAATCATCTTTTGATCTCTTTATAGCTTCAATTTTCCTGAAGAAACTCCGCCAGTAAATTTCAATTCTTTCGTTGTTGCACTGTTGACTGTATTTCAAATATTGACCGGTGAAGATTGGAATGAAGTTATGTATCAGGCAATTGAATCGCAGGGAGGCGTTGATAATGGTGGAATGATTTACAGTTCCTATTTTATCATTTTGGTACTTTTCGGTAATTACACTCTGCTCAATGTGTTCTTGGCCATTGCGGTTGACAATTTAGCCAATGCTCAAGAGTTGACGGCTGCGGAAGAAGAGGAAGCCGAAGAGGATAAACAACGAGCCAAAGATCAGTTGGAAAATGAGATTGCCCATTTACATAAACAGGGAACTGGATCATCCAATGCTCTTGACCTGCCAGCTGTAACCATTTGTCCTCCTTCACCCTTACAGGGTAAACAGGGTGGAAAGGCTGGTGCCACTGGTAAAGCTGCTGGTGATGCTGATAAGGGTGATGATGAAGAGGAAGATGCTGTTGGACCTAAACCAATGCTGCCCTATTCTTCCATGTTCATCTTGTCATCAACTAATCCGATCCGAAAGGCAGCTCATTATGTTGTCAATTTACGTTATTTTGATTTTTTTATTATGGTTGTCATCTTTTGTTCATCCATTGCGTTAGCCTGTGAAGATCCAGTCAATGAAGATTCACCCATTAACGATACTCTTGAAATTTTTGATAAAGCATTTACAAGTGTCTTTACTGTTGAATTGTTGCTTAAAATTGTCGATCAAGGAATCTTTCTTCATCCAGGTTCCTATTGTCGAGATGTCTGGAACATCATGGATGCCGTTGTTGTTATCTGTGCCCTTATCGGTTATGGAATGGGGTGAGTAAAAGTGCCTTCAAAATGCAAAAGTTTCAGATGAAAATCCCAATTCTAACTTTAAGCTTCAAAATCTCAAGCATTTCGATAATTTAATTCTTTTTTTGCCCGAATTTTTCAAATGAAAATTTTCCCTTTCAATCAATGTCATTAACTTGACATTATCTTGCTGCTTGTAAGCTATTAGTCAAAGGTGAACTTAGGAAAGAGCTTGAGAAGAAACTTTGATTTTAGCTTGAATTTCGTGTGTTTTTTGTTCGAATTTGACAAAACAATTTCTAAATGCGATTCTATAAAATAGTTGGAAAGTGCTTTTCAGAGTCAGTTTAATAGTTAGTTTCTGGTAATCTGTTTCTTCCAAAAGAGATAAATCAGATTATTAGTCTATAAGTACCTTGATTGGTCTAAGGTTTATAAATTGTTGCCTCTCTGTGAAGACAATCCATTAATCCGGATCAACAAAATACTTGTGCAATCAAGACTTACTCAGGTTGAACATGAACTTGTACTGAATAGCAATTTAAATGAAAGTTAATAGCAAAGGGATAAAATGGTGAAACATAATCAATCCTAATCAAGCATTATTTCAACAACTACAAGAAAAGTTAAGTTCAGTAATCAAAACTAATAGTCTATCAATATTCATTTTTCTATTAAAGATGTAATCAAAAATTGAATTTGCATTTTTCACTTGAACACTTTTTCCCATGAAACATTAAGCTCTAAACTTTGAAAATCATTATTTTTAATTCGCCATTTTTTATCGTTTTACAGTGAAAAAGATGGAGCTGAAAATTTAGGTACAATTAAATCACTGCGAGTTTTAAGAGTGTTGCGACCTCTGAAGACCATCAAAAGAGTACCTAAGTTGAAGGTAAATAAAACACTTTTACCTTTGAGTGTATCAATGTTAACCTTTTCTTTGTTTCTTTACAGGCTGTATTTGATTGTGTCGTTACTTCACTTAAAAATGTATTCAACATTTTGATTGTTTATATGTTATTTCAATTTATATTTGCCGTCATTGCGGTCCAATTGTTCAACGGTCGATTCTTCTTTTGCAATGATGAATCCAAGTTGACTAAAGAGGAATGTCAGTAAGTATCTTTCAAAGTCACTTTCAGATGGACTTTAATATTGTTTCTGTGTTATGATGACAAATTAATTTGGACAACTTTTCCTTCAAATTAGGGGCGAGTTTTTTCGATTCTCTTTCAAAGAAAACAGTTTACCAGCTGTTGAACGACGGGTCTGGGAGCGACGAAATTTTCACTATGACAATGTTATGGCTGCCATGTTGACCTTATTTGCTGTTCAAACGGGTGAAGGTTGGCCTGGGTAAGCATTCAACATTTGACTATCATGCGCACATATGCAGCTTAGACTGTACAGTTTAAAATCGAATCAAATATTTTTACAAACAAAATAGTCGACTTTTGGAGCATTCATTTCCCTTCTTTTCTTGTCAATATCTTAAGGGAATAAGGTTTCGAGTTCTGCACATAAATGTTATTTAAATTTCTACCTGACCACACCAACAATTGTTAGCATAAAATGTATTTGGCGAAAAAAGAAAGAAATTTGATGTGCGCAAATGTCGGAATAACGCGCCAAAAAAGATAGAGAAATGTCGGATCATAGTAAGAATAAGGCTAGGTCAGGTTAAGACAAATTTTGAAAAGTGAAGGGAAGATCAGGGAAACTTGAAGATATTTAATCGAGACTCTTGTCTTTTCGTTTTGCTATTGAACTTTGATTGAAATGGCGATCAATTTTTAAAAGGTTCATCTGGTTTTATCCGATCCAAATTGACGCTGTTTTTGAGTAAAAATTTTGAAATGTTTATTAACTATCGATATCATTTGGATATTATAATTGATTGCATTTTGTTTCCCTTCAGGATATTACAAAACTCAATGGACGCAACGTTTCAAGACTATGGACCTTTGCCTCATTTTCGTGTTGAAATGTCCATCTTTTACATAATCTTTTTTATCGTATTTCCATTCTTTTTCGTCAACATCTTCGTTGCCTTAATTATTATTACATTTCAAGAGCAAGGTGAAAAAGAGTTGGAAGAAGGTGAACTGGACAAGAATCAAAAGTCATGCATTGATTTTGCCATCATGGCCAGGCCACAACAGCGTTACATGCCTAAAAATAAAGATTCATTTAAATATCGAGTCTGGAGGATTGTGGTGTCAACAGGTTTTGAATATTTCATCATGATTTTAATTGTTTTTAATACACTTCTTCTTATGATGAAGGTAAGCTGTTTAATACAAACTTGAAACCAAACCAATCAAAGCTTTGAATCCAGCCAAAGTTAAAAAAAAATAAGACAAAAATCCCAATCGACAATATTGAGCAAAATGAAAATAGCACAGACAAAATAGACTCGGCCAAGAGTATAAAACACAAAAGCAACCAGAAAACCCATCAGTTTCAAAGTTCACCATCTTTCGCTTAAATAGTGACAAAAATGAAATGAATATTGCTCAAAATTATCATCATTTCAACCCTTTTCCCACCCACATCTTTAACCTGAAATCTCACTCAAAGTAAAACAGAGCACTCAGTCAGAAAAGGTTACCAAATCAAAACTGTGCTCAGTTTAAAGTTTCCAATAATATTTCTCTTAAAGACGATTAACAAAAGTTCAAAGATCAACACAAAGTTTATTGACACTTCAATTTTGGCACTTTGAACACATCAAATGACGGAAGCAATGAAACGCTTGAAAAGACAGCATTTAATCAAAAGCTATCGATAAACTTTAGATGAAACAGGAAATTTACAAAGACAAAAATCGAAAAGCGAAAAGACGAAAAACTCAAAATCTCAACTTCGATGTTTGAAAATTTCTCGTTTTCGCTATCATTTAGAACGTTCATTTTTTGTCTCTTCGAAATCAAAATTCTCTTCGTATTTGCAAAGTGCCAAAGTTGGAGTCGTCCAATGATGCTTTTTGTGATAAGTTCACAATTTACACACAACCACACAGAGAGAAACACTTTTGATTAACGTTATGTTTTCGCCTTCTTGTCGTTATCTTGGGTTTATCGTCACTTGGAAAGTACTTAATAGCCTCTTGATATTAAACTTGAACCATCTCTATATATATATAAATATAAGTTGATATATTTATGTATAAAAAACGAAACTAAACTCATTGCATTTGATTGCATATGAAAAACTGCATCGTGTGGTGTTGAGGGTTTACAGGTCAATTTACTGTCCAACTCTTGATCCTTTTTTGTCTCACTTTCACTCAATGTCTACAACAATAATAATGTTGATAATGATAACGATAATGATGAGTCATTTTCAGCCTTTTAATTACATTACCAAAATGAGGAATATTTTCAGGGAAAATGGAACAAGTCCGAGAAAAAAGAAAAAATTGTGCAAGACTAATTATCTTTGCTTTATGAGATTGTCTCAATCATTTCAGCTGTTGTCATGAATCGAGTTTCATGTAACCCCAAATGAGATTTGGAGCCATTCACCTGTATCATTTATTCATCACTTGAAGTGAAAAGATTTGACGTTTATCTTTCTTTTCGCCATCTTTCATCTTCTCAATTTACATGATAATTTTGTTTTTCAATTGTGAGCTTTTTTCATTTCTGTTTTTGATGTTAATTCTGGGAAACATGATTTCACCTCAACTATTTCATCAAATTCATGAAAAGCAAAAATTTTCTCTTTTCCATTCGACTCTTTACAAAAGGAAAAAAATTGAATCCATTTTTTGTTGATTGATCAATTTACTTCTCCCTAAAAGCTGTTATCATTTACATTATCGTCTTCATTGATTACAAATGATAACATTGAAAATTAATGAATTTGGTGAAAAGTTGAACAACAGAAAAATGTGTTGAATTTTGTTTTCCATTTCAAATGAGAATCTCTTTCATTTCAACCTTCATTGTTCTCTTATTATCAATTCGAAATTTCAAGTCGAAATGTTAGGGAATTTTCATTTAGAAAAATGTTGACTTGAATTTTTACCTGAAAAAAGTAAAATGCATCAAGGCATCAATGAGGCTGAGTAAAGGGATGCGCAAAGAGATGAACAGCATCAGAATGGAAGAAATGTTTGAATCGATTTTTGAAACTGAGGGAAGAGTGAACGATGAAAGATGATGAAAGATGAGGAGCAACGAACTGATTTGACCTGGAATCCATCTAAATGTTATTTGTTCTCTTTTTCGAGTCAATTTTGTTCGCAACTTTACCTTTTTTTTCTTCGCCTCCATCTTTCTATTCATCATACTTTTGTTCAGCTAAATTCAGTTTCATCAGTAAATCGAAAAGTGTAGCTTTCGATAAAATTATGATTAATGCTTGGATAAATCATGAAAAGTCAATTGCATCAAAAACGATACTTTATTTGACACAATTTTTCCCCAAAAATCTTGAAGAATCACCGACAAAAGATTAAACAGTTTAACCAATGTTAAGATTCAGATCAACTCTAAGCTTCTGATTCCAACACTGAGATCATGTTTACCAGCGCTAATGTACTTTAGCTCTCGACTTTAAATCAAAGTTCAATTGGCATGAGAAGCCTCAAGAAATGGAAACAAATAATTGAAAAGCAATCTTAATGAGCGTTAATTGATTTACATTAGGAAACATTTGATTTTAGTTATTACTTGATTGGTGTAAAAATTGGAAGGAAAAATATTGAAACTTGAATCTTGTGTTATTCACTTTGATTGTAATTGACTTGATACTCATGTTTATCGATTATCCTGAAAGTAAAGATAAGTTGTATTTATCTTTTCATGAAAAGAGACTGAATAAAGGGCGAAAACAGATTAACATAGATTGAAATGTTGTAAACTCTGGATGGATAATTGATAACATTGAGTGTAACATTAAACTGTCATTGAGTATAAGTTTGTTAAATGATTGTTCAAGAGTCAATTAAGTTTCAATTAGTATATAATAGCTATCAACAGGGAAAACTTGGAACACAAGAAAAGTCTTTTCTTCCAAATTCGTTGTAACCATCATTTTTACTAATCATTGAGATGAAACTATAATTTTCTTATTTGATAAGTGATCAGACATTTAATCAAAACTCAACTTGGCCAGTAAAGCAACGAAATTTAACGATCAACAAAATTTCGATTTTTCCTTAAACTTGAAATTTATATCGAAATGAAATGTTGGTCGAGAAAAGCAAAAGAATGAAATCACAGAAACTCGGTTATGTTTAGAACTTTCTTTTTTGTTCGCTCAACATGACAGATTTTTCCAAGAGGCTTTTCCCTTCTATTAACCAGACAAAATGCTCGTAAACTGATTAAAAGATGAAAATTATTTTCATATCAACATGGAGTTAAACAAGGCAAAGGTGAACTTGAAAGATGAAAAGCGATTCTGTCAGTGATAACATTTAGCCGACACTTATCTTTAACCAAAAGCTTTCATCTTATGAGAATGCAATTTTCTCAGTCCAATTCTTTCTACCTCAACATGATCATCTTATTCATCATCTTTTCATCTTTTCCTCTTTACTCTCATCCTTAATGATCCTTGACTAACATTCTTTATCAATCTAACTGTCTCGACTTTTCTTTCGTTGTCAACCTTTTCTCATTCATTTAACTGGTTTACGCTTCATCAAACATCAACTCAATCTTTCTTCGTTTCTTCTTCTTCTTCTCCTCGATGTGCCAAAAGTGAGAAAAGAAACTTATCGTAATCGTTTTGTTCAATAGTTTCAAATCTTTAATCATGAAGATGGCAATTTTCATTCACATTATATTCTTGGTCAATAAATTTCAAACCATTTCAAGAGTAATTACAATATTGAAATGAACCCAGGAAAAGAGTGCGAAAACGCAAATCAAATGTATCATTATCACGATTATTATTGTTGAGATGAAAAAGTCTTTTCTTTAAATTTCAAGATTCAACTTGAGGCAGATTCGAGTAAAACTTATCGATAGAACGTTTGACGAATTGAAAAATGTGGAAAAATTTTGTTCACTTTCTTATTAGCACAGTTTTGATGCTTTTAGGTGATAGAATCTGATTATGAAAACCCAAAAATTTTCAAAAGAGTAAACTCGAAGTTGAAATTTTGACCGGTTTCTCTCGTTGAATCGTCTTTTCCAATGTTTCATCAATCATCCTCATGATTCACATGAATCGTGTGGAAACGAAAACGAACACTTTTGCAATTCTATATTCTTCTTCTTCTTTATATAGCATAATAAAGCCAGCCAGGAGTTGAAAGATTTACTCAGATATACTAATATTGGATTCACTGCGCTTTTTTCTCTTGAATGTGCGCTCAAGATAATTGCGACTGGAATCCGGGTAAGATTACCCTTCGATTAGTGTTTAATAATGAAAACAAAATAATGAAAAAATTTACACAAAAAAAACAATTTTCCAGGCAACACGAGTTGAACAATTTAGAACAATTTAGTTTGAAGAAAATACCGTTAAAATAAAATCATTATCATTGTTATCAAGTCAAAGTCTCTTGATTTTGAGATTTGAAATTGCATGAATTTGGTCATTATATTTGGTATTTGACGAGTATTATCAGCTAATATCATATTACTTTCATGATTGTCATGATTAGCGATTCTTGTTCTCGCTTCATTCTGCTCTTCTTGATTCTCATCTGGAACTTCAATTTTAACAACTTTACGAGTCTGAATATTTTCTTGAATTTCATCTGGTTAGACTTTATTGGATTAACAATTGAATAATAATGTTTCATTTGACGAGAAAAGTTTACAATTTCAATTGATTCTCAGCTAAATTTCAACTTTGTATAGCAAAACTCATTTTTTTGTTCAATTCCAAACCAATTATGGATTCTCAGCAAATTCAAGTTATCTACAAGTTTATTAGTCTTTGGAGCAGTTTATTTAGATTTTTTTCGAATTTCGATGGAAAATTTCAATTTCTATTTTGAGGTCGCAATTTTTCGATTCCATTCGGTTGACTTGAATTTCACTAAAAACTCAAACTTGGCATCTTGAGCATCTTGTGCATGTTTAAAGGAATTGCAAGTTTTTCAAACCAAAATCCCGATTGTTACATTTGTTGTTAACAACATTGAGTAACAAGATTGAAACGTGAGTTACTTGAGCATGTTTATTATCAGTTAATTTGCATCTTGATTGAGCATCTTGAGTTATTTGAAAAGCATGAAACAAAAGCATGGTGCATGAAATTGGTAAAAGCATTTTGATATTTAAATAAAATGACAATGTAAAAAAGACTATTGAAACTCATTTGCATTTGGAAATATTACAAAAGCAAAAGTTTTCAAAGTAAAACAAAAATTTGCACAAAAATCAATAAAAAAAGCCAACAAAAAGCTTTTCAAAAGCCAATTAAACTGAAAACAAATAAAGGGAAATATTGTTGATGAAAACGCAACTCAAAATGAAAGCAAAAAAAAAGAAATGAAAAGAAACCCAAAAATTGAATAAAAACTAAAACTTTGACCACAAAAGTAGATTATCAAGTTAATGTAACCAAGAGACGAATCAAGAAAAAGTAAAAATTGATTGATTTTCGGGCAAAAGTGCCAAACTCGAAACAAAACTCATTGGAAAAATATGCAAATGAAAATGATTTTTAATCATGATAATGAATAGGCGAAAAGGTTGAGAAAGGCATGAAATTGGAAATGAAGAGACACACAAAAATGGACAAAAAATGAGAGTAAAAGTGTGATGGAAAAGGTGTTTGGATCAATAAATTGATTCATGACAATTGCTGTTATCCAAGTAAATATATCATTAGATTGGTAAATGAGCTAATCATGTATTGCAATTGAACTTTAATGGCGAGATAAAGGTTGGAAGAAGAAAATGGAATGAAAAAAAAGTCTAGAAATGAGTTGTAATTAGTGATGAAAGTTGCCGATTGCAAAGTCGACTTTAGTCGACGAATTTTGATAGAAAGATTTCGCTCCACTAAACATGAACATGAATCAATCAATTTTGACCTGAAAGGTAATGTAACTCTTTTACCATTTTCATCATCTTCTTGGAACATTAACTTGATTCTTCTTTAGATGACCTACTTTTACTTTCTCCATCCCTTTGCCTTTCCATCCTCATCTTACTTTTCCTCTTCCCTTTCCCTGAACAACTCACACATTTACATGTATATACATGACACAAGTCGAAACATTATCAACCATTAATATGCAATGAAATTAGGAACAAAAAAAAAGAAGAAGATGAAAAAAAAGTAAAATATAATTTACCTTTTTGCAATTTCATTTTCATTCCTTTTCCCTTCCCTTATCAAATCACAACTAATTGCCTTTATTTTCATCACTTAATCACATTACACTTTTTTTGGGTGTTTATCTCCATTCGTCTGAAGTTCATTTCAACAGAAAACAATCAAAGGAAACGAAACATTTTTCTCATTTACCTTTTTTTTCTTCTCTTTTCTTCTCTTTTTTCCCCGTTTCCATCTTTTCCTTTTCCGCCTTTTTCCTCGTAACATTACCAATGCTAATATAAACTCAAACAAAACCCAATCTTTTGTTGTTACAAAAACAAAACAAATTCAATTTGAAAAACAAAACAAAATGTTGCCAAAATTTTGTTTCATTTTCCGTTCTTTTTTTTACGTTGAAACGATTATATTTTTTGTCACCGTCACCCAATGTTCCGATGCGATACACTTTGATATTCAAATTGGAAAATAATTTTTCGAAAATTTTTGGACCCAAAAAAACAAATTCCCCGATGATAACTAATTTTTTTTTCGTTTTCATGTCTTTTCTTTTTCATGATTCTTTTTCAATGTTGCCACCATGGTTTTCGCTTTTTCTTTTCTCTTAATTTTTGCAATTCTTTATCACAGTATCACCATGCTGATGATACTTATCTCGATGTTTTGAGCTACATGAATGAATTATTCACGATTTTCTTTCTATTAGAATGTATTCTCAAATTAGTGGCGTTTGGATGCAAGGTTTGAAAAACTTTTCTTAAAACTCAACTTTCAGTCTTTCATTAGAATCTTTGGACAGATTTTTCTAGTCGACTCATTTTTTCACTCAGAATTGATCTCTTTATGATACTATCTGATAAGACACTTTAAATACCAAATATTTAGCGCTTCTTTTGTTCATTTAGAACTTAGTTTTAGAATTTTTTTTGAAAAAATGTTAAATTCATTCATTTTTTGTTCTCTATCAATATTGAAACTTTACCTTACTAATGCCGACTTTTTCCAAAACACATTTTCTCTGGTTATCATCTGTTTATTGTTCCTCCCTGTTTTCATTCCTTTCGTTGTTGTCCACCTTTTCTCTCCGCCCTTCACTTTCTTCCCTCAACTTTTTCTTTCAACCATTGAACTCATTTCAACTGGATGTTGGATGAAAATAACAGAATTTTTTCAAAGATTCTTGGAATGTTTTTGACTTTGTTACCGTTGTTGGAAGCGTCATTGATGCAATTGTTATGGAGTTCGGGGTAAATGAAACTTTTATTGTGAAGATTTGATTCGAAAAAATGGAAAAAAATTAACTCTACTTTTTCTCTACACTTATAGTCGCAATTGAGATCGTACCAATTTAATGTTGGTTTTTTAAGATTGTTTCGAGCTGCTCGATTGATTAAACTTTTACGCCAAGGATATACGATAAGAATTTTGTTATGGACATTTATTCAATCATTCAAAGTATGCCAATGACCGTTGCTTCAAATTTTACCATTTTGATGAAAATTAATGAGATTCGAAAAAATTAACTTCTAATTTTAACTTTCTTTCAATAGGCATTGCCTTACGTCTGTCTACTTATAGCCATGTTATTTTTCATTTATGCCATTATCGGTATGCAGGTGAGTAAACATTTAGCGCAGTTGAATCTTGCATTTGGATTATTCAAACTGATAATTTTATTTGGTTATGTTACATGTAATGACAACCGATTCAATGATTCAACTCTTTTGTTTTCTAGGTTTTCGGAAATATCCGTTTGAATCCGGAAACTGAGTATAACCGACACAACAATTTTCAAACATTCATACAATCACTTATGCTTCTCTTCCGGTGAGTAAAGACATTAACATTTTTTTCATTTTCTTGTTTTTACTCAAACCATTTTCATACTTTGATCCACTCGACAGATGTGCTACCGGTGAAGCTTGGCAAGCAATCATGTTGGCCTGTACCAAAGGTAGACCCTGTGATCCTGGAACCAAGAAAAATAAACCCGAATGTGGTTCCATTTGGTCTTATGCATATTTTGTTAGCTTCATATTTTTCTGCTCATTTTTGGTAAGTTTCTAGTCCTTGGAAGAGAATGTAACTAGAAAAGAAAAAATCGATTCTTCGACTTTTTAATGCGCTAATGGAAGTTGAAATTTGAATGGATTTTGAAAATTTTTCTTCCGTTGATTGAAATCTTAAAGCTATAAAAGTCATGAAAGATGAAGTTTTTAGTCTAGTGTTTAAGAGCATAAAGAGGTTGATGAAAATCGAGATGAATTTCAATTTTGATTGTTTCATTTTAGATGCTCAATCTTTTCATTGCCGTCATTATGGACAACTTTGACTATTTAACTCGAGATTCATCCATTCTCGGTGCCCATCATTTGGATGAGTTTATTCGTGTTTGGGCTGAATATGATCCGAATGCTTCAGGTTGGATTCATTACACTGAAATGTACGACATGCTTAGAAACATGGATCCGCCTTTGGGTTTCGGTAATAAATGTCCAAATCGTTTGGCTTACAAGGTAATGTTAGAAGTAAACCTTTTTTTACAGTTCAACCAATAGTAAAGAAAATTGTTTTCGATTTCCTTTCCATTTCAGAAACTGATTCGCATGAATATGCCCGTCAATCCAGAGGGTAAAGTAAACTTTTCAACAACCTTGTTTGCCTTGATTCGTGAAAATTTGAGCATCAAAATGAGGCCAGCAGATGAGATGGACATTGCTGATCGAGAGTTGCGTGAAACTGTTCGTAAACTGTGGCCTTTACAAGCTAAAAAGATGCTTGACAAGATGATTCCACCCGATGATGGTAAATAGTCATTACTCCATTAAACGGATAAAAAGTCAAATACAACATTTCATCGATTTCGCTTTCCTCTTGATTATGATTAACCAAACATTTTATTTCTTCATTCAACCAGAATTGGGTGCAGGAAAGTTGACTGTGGGTAAAATTTATGCTGGTCTCTTAGTTCTGGAGAATTGGCGAACAACTCGATTCGGAACTGTCCCAGGATCGGGTTTAGCTGTAAGTTGTTGCACAAATCACTTCGCACTCCTTATTAATATAATTATATCTTATTATTACCATATTATCTATCTTTTTATTTTATTTCATTTCTTTCCAATTGAACAATCTAACTTTTAATATTCATTTCTAAATAACTTCCACTAATAATATCTTCTAATCATTTCTCTAACATTCATTTTATCCTCTATCTGGGAGTGAGCAATAAAAGAATAACAAATTTGAGAAAAATAAAAGTTGAGAAAAGGGTAAAATTAAACCTTTTCCATAGAGAAATATTCCGTTTAAAAACAAGGCGAAACAATATTTCACTTCTATTCATGATACTTCCATCTCGAACATTTTTCACAACCGTTAGCATTTGTTAAAACGATCAACTATTCAATCAAATTCTTTGGCTATTTTTGCGAACCAATTTAAAACAACGAAAAATTCAAATCATAATTTATGTCAAAACGAATCTTTTTTCTGTAGAAAAAGAATTGGAATGAAAAGAGACTTTTATCTTGTTAGTCGATTCGTTAGACGAAAGATACTTTTCTGGATTAAAAGTTCAGATTTTGGTTCCAATGTTCAAAATTCATCTTTAAAAGACTTTCTGTGAAGCTTAATCAAGACTAATGGTGACTGCTAGCAACAAACTAAAGCTCAATTTTTCGCTGTAATTTGATTTAGTTGTGAGTTTAAATTCGAGACGCTTTTATAATCACAAAAGAACTAAATTTTTCCATTTCTAATTCAAGCTGATCATGAATAGAATTTTGAAATTTCGTCATTTCTACTTCTAAAATAAAATTCCAAGATTCTAAATGAACAATTTAAACTATTTAAACATTGATTCAAACTAATGAATCTTAACTAAACATTAAACTTGATCTAATTAACTGATAAATATCTTTCTGTGTTAACATATTGTACCATAATCGTCCGTTTTAAATGTCAATGATTATTTTTTTGCCTTCGTTTGCCTTTTTTGCATAAAATTGAATGAAAAAATGTCCAATAAAATTCCCGTAAAAAACAAATCCATTTAGGCAAACAGAATGAACTTTAAAACTAGAAAACTAAGTTGACCATTTATCGTAATTTTACATTTATCCCTAAATTTGTGCTAAAATCTAAGTTTTTTATCACTAAACATTTCAAAATTTAGAGAAAAGTGTTTCTTAAATTGTGCTAAATTCAATATCTGACAACAATTAAAGTTGAAAAAAACATAAAAAATAATGATAATAAAGTAATAAATTGAATTAGTACAAAACTTTAATTTTATTTGTTCTCATTCGATATCATTTTTTAAGTTGATCCATTATCGTTACTGTTATTACTATTATTATCGTATAGATTATGTTTCCTTATTTGTTATCAATGTTGTCTAATAACATCTATTTTGTCTTATAGTCCTAAGTATTGTTAATTGTGTATTGTGTTTGTTTCAGGAAAAAAGTGCTCTCCCTGCTTCTGGTGATGTTTCGGTAGTGTATTCAATAAAATTAGTTCATTTCCCAATCTTAATCATTATCCTTTGCAACAACACTTGACATTCCTTGTTCCTCAAAGATTCCTTCACCAGTCATTCCATGATATTCACTTGGTATTGTTTGCATTTGTGCCTGTTACCTCAAGACAGAGAATCGACAATCGATTTTCCGTCTTTTCCATGTTGCACTCATTTCAATGTCTTGACTTGTTTTCATCCCAAAACAGTTTTTTTTCATTTTTGCAATATTTTCCCAAAATCGATGTGTATTTTTTTCGTTTTGTTAGAACTTTTAGAAAATTCTTTTTTTTAAAAGTGTTATCATTGAAGGATATTTTACTATTGAGATTCGACTCGAGATTTAAAGTAATTTAGAGCGATTCGTTTGTTCTTGACTGCTCAATCGGACAACTCAATGGTTTGTCAGTTGAAACTTGTTAGATTAGGAAAAAAAGTTACTCAAAATTTTCAAAAGTTTTTATTCGAGATGTGTTTCGAACGCGAAGTTGTTGAAAAGGTGCGTTTTCTGCTTTTTATCAGCGAATCGTATTTATGTTTGAGATTATTTTTTCACTCCAAACTCACTCCATTCACTTGATTCACAATTGTTCACTTTCACTCACAAAATTCACTTTTGTTTTCAGATTTTCATTTCATCTCATTTCTTCCAACCTTTTTTATTTATCTTTCATTCACTTAACTCACTTAATCACACAATCATTCACTTGGTTCACTCCAAATTTACTGTCAATAGTAACGAAACACTCATTTTACATCTTTTCTCTCTTTCCTCTTCTTCTTCATCTTGACATTAACTTTTCCTTGCAAATTCATTTTCCTATTAATTACAAACATCAACACATCACATGACAAAACATGACTAATTTTTTATCACAAAAAACAAATTGGCAAACAATTTGTAAATCAATTTCAATGGGTTTATTCATTAACGTTTACAAAATGAAATGAAACATGAAATGCAAAACACAAACACAATAGCGTCCATCATTATTACAACGATTGATGGGTGCAGTTCGTCAAAGCAATTCCCATGCAACTCGAGATCCACACGAAGATCATTTCGACACTGGAAGTGGAGGCCAAGAGGCAAGTCGCAAAGGCTCAGTCAGGTCAAATCTAAGGTAAATGGATCATCAAAGTCATTTAGCAACAATGAAACTTCAATTTCAGCATGAAACTTCCAAAGAACAAAACTTAAATTCCACAAAAAAAACTGCATCCATGGCATAATCACAACCAGAATTGACTCTCAATTCAATTCCTTCTCCTCATGACATCAAATTTACAACGAATCAAATTTCAACTTATGTTTCTATTTTTTTATTTTGTTCACTTTTTATTTTCTTTCATTTTTTTGCCTTTTCATTTCACTCAATGTTTTACAAGATTTTATAAGTTTATATCATTTTATGCATTATTTTATTTGCTCATTTCTCACTCCCAGCATTCACTTCTAGCGCTCACTTCCCCCTCCGAGCTCGAATCTGAACTCTTTCACTTCCAACTCACCATGTCTATGAACCCGATCCCAATGTTTAAATCAATAATTATCTTGAGGTCACGAGTAATCTCTGCTTTTTTAGAGCTGCTTAAGTAACACTATTGACACTGATTTTTAATTAAACCTGTTCTTTCCAGCATCGATGATGAGGATGGCAAGGAGAGACGACGGTCTTTTAGTTTCCTTCGTCGAGGAAGTAGTAAACGCAAATCCAAGAAAGACTCTAGTGATTCAAAAAACTTTGAAACTCAGGTTTGACCTTTTTTCTCACACAACAATCAATTTTCCAACAATTAACAGAAGCAAAATATTAACACAAACAAACACATTTGACACACACTCGTAATTTTCACTCGACACCACGCAAAGTGTTATTTTTACATTTTCTTTTCTCATGAATGTTTCAAACTTAGATCGAGTCACAAACACGACAGGTTGACATTGTTTTTGTGTGTTTCTTTGTTTTTTTTATCAACAAAAAAATCGTAAAATGTTTCCACTTTTGAGGAAACATAAAATGTTATCGTAAATTCAACGTAAATAGCGTTAAAGTGTGCACCTTTTGTGTGTGTGTTTTGATGCTCCATTGACTATGAAAGGGTCACTAAATGAAATTCCCAAAAGTTTATTGTCATTATTGTTGTAACTTTTTTTCTTTCCATTGCTCATCATGTCCAAATCAATGTTAATCAATGTTGTACCAACAAGAAAAATCATGTCTCTTGATTGTTGATGTTTTGTATTATCCTTTGCATTGTAACCATTTTACTGTCTTTTTTCATTCCAAACTTGTTTTTCCTTGAAAATTTTGCATGATTTCAGTTTCCCATTTCACTGTCGCACTCTTGCATCCAATGTAAACTGTCTTGCCCTTTTGATTCAGGTCAATCAACTTTACACCTTCAACTATAAATTAGTCAATAACTGCCTGACTTTTACTTGGGATTTATGTTTTATTTTAATTGTGATTGTTCCATTGATTGACTAGTAAATGTCGTAAGCATCGTCTTTCTTGGTGTCCTCACTTAATTGTATTTCAATGTAATCATTGTTTTAACATTTTTGGCCTTTTTGTTCGTTGCATCGCCAACATGTACTCAAGAACACACGACAACAAATGGTTAACCATACAATTAAGCTAACTATAATTAGTATCATTGCAGTAAAACTATTTTTTGTGTCTTTTTTCAGTAAAATTTAATTTACTTTTAGGATGTTTAACCAAACTCACTAGATTATAGTTAATGTTAATTTTAATCTTTAAATGCTATTTTTACAATTAATGTTTTTCGTTTCTTTGATGAATCGAGTCAATGTTTTGAATGGAAAAACAAGTTTCTTTGATTGTCTCTAGTTGATTGTAATTTGTCATTTTTTGTCTCTTCATTGGTTCGATTTGCAGGAACAAATGTCTCAACAAATGGCTCATCTTAAACCCGATTTGCAAATTACTCGACCTGGATCGAGGTCGCCTTCACCTACTCGGGATGAGTCTCCTGTGAAGGGTGATCGAGGTCGATCTCCAGTTGGTAGATCACGATTACACTCACCTCGACCATCGGATGTTGGCTTTGCCGAAGCCGTTTCCGATGTGGTTGACATTGTTAAATTTGAGACTTCACGGAAAGGTCGGGCGAGACGTAAGTTGAGACGACTATTTAAATTGTTTGAGATTTAATTAACTTTTTTGTTCTCTTTGTTACTCAAAGAAAAACTTCTTGGAGATGAATTTTACTCGTATGGATCACCTTTACTTGGTCGCTCTCCAAGTCGTCGTCGAGCCTCTCGTCGTCGTTCTCGTTCACCTTGGAGAGGTCCACCTCCTACAACAACAACAACCGAGGCAACGGGTCGAAGTCGATCCATTAGTCCAGAATATCGTACAACGTGCCTTGATAAGCGATCACGAAGTCCCAGTCCTCATGGTCATGCACATTCCCATGTTTCCAGCCATCATCCTCTCCAAACACCGGTTCCTGGTCCATCCGACAATTACTATGGTACAACCAAGTTGGCTGAACGAAGTCGCAGTCCTTCACCTCAATCAGCAGTCAGTTTACCCATTCAAAGGTTAAGAACAGCAGCAACGGCTGTTGGTGCAGCCACAGTTGCCTTGGGACGATCAAGAACGGGAAGACGTTTACCTGCAACACCATTTAAACCTTCACCTTTATCTTTGGGAGGTTCACAATCAGTTGAAGGAATAAACTTTCCAACTCTTTCACATTCACCGACAATTCCAATGATTGATAAATCACCCAACAACATCAACTTTCCCCGTGTAAATGCATCACCAACACACACCACTTATGGACCAGTAAGTTTAATGAGCCAACATTTTCCACTCACTAAACCTTTAAAACCTTTAAAACTAAACACTTTACTAAAGCCACAATCCACTAATTTAGCGATTAACATTTAAATTTTGATTTACTTTGCAAATTGTTCAAACACTAGAATTGTAATTTTCCTTAATTTATAATATTATTGCTACAATCTATTTACCTTTCATTTTCTGGTTTCAACAGGCAAACATATTGGGTTACACTGTTACCAGAAAATTGTTTGACCATTAATATTGTTAACTTTTCCTTTCACTCAAATCTTTCCTTCAATTCAATTTAAACATTTACCAATCACTAAACACCTTTTTTTTGCTATAAATTATTCAATTTGGTAGTTGAAAGGTAAATTAAACGAGTAAAGATTTGCTGGCAAAGTGTTTCATTTGTTGAACTTCAACAAATGAGTTTGCATGGTTCAGTATGCACAATAATGCATTACAAAGATATTGTTACTGGTCCAGGTTTTACAATCCAATGCTTGTTTATTATTCATTAACTTGGCTGAAAGCATATCAAAGTAATCATCATTACTTTGGATTTATTAGAGTTTATAATTTGATGCTGGGAAGGGAAAGGAATCCAATCAATTCAGAGGATAAACTTTAAATGGCCAATCAGCAGCGCATTGAATATCATTTGAAACAAAAAATGACATTTTTTGCAGAAGCAAACAATTTCATTATGACATGGTTACATTTTAGAGCAAAAGATTGATCTCAGTCAAAATAATTTACCAAAAATTTTATTGTCTCTTTATTAGCTATAGAGATTTAATTGATAAAGTTTGGCTTCAAAATACCTTGGAAATAACTGTTGAAGAACTGAAAGCTACAACTTTATCCGAAATCATTGCATTTATCTTGAAATTACACTCAGTTTGTCGGTATAAAACTTGAAATGGGTTCAATACACGATCGAATCAGAGTGCTTTGCTTTATAATGCATTTGTGAATTGTCTAGCTTTATATTGTCATCAGCAGATTCATAATGCTTAGAAACAACTGCAACAATTGTGAAAATTTTATCGAGATCATTTGTCCTGAATTTATCTCTTTAAGCGTGCAGGCCAGTTGAGCTGAAACTAATTTAACTTTTCTTTCGCTTACAGGAGTCACAACCACATGAGTCTTTGAACAAAATCTAGGTTGACTAAGCTTATAACCTTTTCGAGTTGCAAGTAAATTTTGTATTTTTTAACAATCTTAATAAACTCTGAAATTCAATTTCATCTATTAGCACAACAACCATCTGTACTTGCTTCATCAAGTTGTAATTTAAGATGAGATCATCAGTGTTCTGGATGAGCTACCAGATTAGCAGATTCATGGAGTTTTTGTGCTTAACCATTCAATTGAAGCTTATTGTTCTAGTGAAGAGTTGCATAAATTTATATGAGAACAAATTCCTGTTTTTATCCGTGAGCAAGTTTCAACGAGAGAAGCTCAATTTTTCAGTTCTCATGATAAATATATTCTAACTTGAAAAATGACATTTTCCAAAAGCTGATTACTGTTTGATCAAGAAATCAGAAAAATGGTCAACTACAGCGAACCCGTTTTGCCTCTGTCTTAATTTACTTTCAACTTCATCCAAATGTTGCACAAATTGAATTGAAATATTAATATCTTTAAGCTAATTGAAAAGTTTTCACTTTTCATACAAGAAACAATCTAAAAATGAAACTTTAATCAACTCAATATCTGCTGGAAAATGAATCAATAATATCATTTTCTTTGATTAATACTGAATCACAAGATAAACTTTGAATTAAAGATCAAAGCAATTGTTGAAGCGATTTCAACTCGTTTGTTTAAATCGACAATTGACTTTTTAACTAATCAAAGTTTATCATTTTAACTTTAAAATGAATGATCCATTTTATGATTTAATGACAATAAGTTTCATTTTATCAAAAACCTTTGCATTCCTTTCCCATTAATTGTTAAATTTAATTATAAATTTTATTTTAAATTTACATTTATTGCTTGATTCTCATTTCCTGCCAGTTTCTTTATGTTTCAATGTTTGTTGATGAATCCTTGTTACTTGCATTCTGTTGACAGATTGAAACCAAAACTTGACCAATGTGTTGGTGCTTAAAGCAAATGAACTTCCCTTTAATTGTGAACCGTTTTGTGTTTGCCGAATCGTCTGTCCTTCTGTTTACTCCTTTACCGAATCTTGTGTCTTCTACTCCTTCTTTGGTCTACTTTGCGGTCTCTCTTATCTGTGTTTACCAATCAGGTTATATTGTGCTAACCAATGGTCATCGTTAACATTCAACTGTAAACCCATTGGCCAAACCACATGGACCCTAAAGATAGAGAGAAAGAGAGTGGACTGCGAATGTAAAATGTAACCAAAAGTGCCTGATTAACTTGAACCCAAGTAGGTTTGCCTTTTCTGGTTTATTTTCCTTCCATTTTCCCTTTGTTTCTTTCGTTAACCATTTATACTCATCAATCAATGAAAAACATCAAAATTATGATTCGAGTTTATGTTCGAATTTTTTCATTCAATTCCTCAGTTCGTTATCCGTTGTTATTCATTTGAAAAGACCACATTTTCCTTTGGATTTGCATTTTGCTTGTGCTTCGTTAATCATGGATTGATGCTTTTTAAAGCTAAAATTTGTCATCAACTTATCAATTTACTTTTGCTAAAGACCTTTTAATGTTTGACTTTTCAATGAATCAATTTTGATTGAAAACTCTTTCACTGTGAACCATTTTTAATGAGCTCAACCTGTTTACCCTGGTAAAGTGATTTATTGATACATTTGGTTATAAATCAAATTTCAATAAACGAGTCTTCTTTTTTGTCTCTCATTTTCAATGAAACAGATTAAAGCTTGATCATCTGTTTGATTCCCATTGAATAACTGATTAAATGGTAAAAAAAGACTCAAGCTTTAACTCAGGTTAACCATTTCACTAGAGAAATGGCAGAAATCAGTGAAAGAGACAAATGGAACAACAATCTTTACCTTTTTTGGATGATTATTGTTTAGCTTTTCATATATTATTTTTGTTGTTGAAAGGCAAACCTAAATGAAGCCGAGTGATTTGTTCAACTGAAACCTCAATGTTCCCCAGATGATATTAACAGTCTATGGAATAACTTGATTCTGTTCAACATGAAATCATGACTTTGATACAGACTTGTAAATTCATAATTCATCTCTATTCTCGTTTTTATTGCAGTTTTACTTTACAATAATTATGGTTATCAGTTTAACCCAATCCTTGGTTTGTCAGTAAAATGATTGAAGGGATTTGAAACAATGCAAACAGGATATCAGGCTTGATATTAATTTTAAAGCAAAAAACATCTTTAAACTAATCTTTCATTGATTAGAAAATATCGATTCTTTGAGTTGGACAAGGAAATGTTGAAAATTTGATAAGAAAATTTAACGTTGAAATCACAACTTTGCTCATTTGACCTGCTCTTGAATAGCATCTTTTTTTTGGGTTGAATATTTTTCTGTGAAACATTTTTCCTGGTTAAACTAATGAAGGTAAAAGGGTACATTTTGTATGAGATGTGAAAGAGCGCAGGCTTGATGATCTGAAAGGCAAGTCGATAACCAGGTTAACTGTTTTGAGAGTTGCAAGGAGTAGATGATGAGGAGGAAAACAAAGTAAGAGTAAGAAAGTGTATTGTAAGCAAAGGCAGTAAAAAAAGAGAGTAAAGGGTATATACTTCGAGGATGAGGTCATGACCTGAAAGAGCTTTGAAGGATACTCGAATGAGTTGGAAAAAAGCAGCAAGGTGCGAGGTAAATAATACATGTAACCTCATTGCCTTTGGATCGATAAAACTGTTTAAACCGGTTAAAATGGGTGAAGGGAAAAAGCGAAAGGAAAAAGGTTACATTGATCTTTAGCTTTTCACAAATTTCAAAGTGTCCTTTTTATATTCTGGTTCGTATCCATCTACAATCCTAACCAAAACAATGTCGAGTTATAATTTTAATAATAAACTTGACATTTCAGTTATTGATTTTTTACTCACTGATTTTTGCTTCTCTTTCTTTTTCACTTTCGTTCTTTCTATCTTGCTAACAATGACTTTTATATTCATGATGATCCGTTGAATTAGGAAAATTTATTGCAAAATTCTTATTCAGTTTTGAAAATTATCTTTCATTTTATTTTCTAAAAGCATTGATTTAAACATTTTTAGGTACAATAAGATACCAGATAATGATAGTATCCTGGAATAGCTTATTAACACTATTTTACCGGTTAGAGTATTTCATGATTTTCAATCTTCCTTAAAAGATCAAATTCAGTCTAAATTGTTTTTAAAGTGATTTCTCGAGGTTTTTTAACAGTTTAGAAAAATTAATTAAGTTGATTGATAATTTAAGAAATTGAAATAAAATTTGATTAAACTCCTTAATTGACTGTCATAATCTGGTAAATTACCAGTGTTAATCCTTTATGTTACTCTTTTCATGCTGCCATCTACGGGAACTATCTTTATAAACAATGCATTTTATTGGGCTATTTAATGCTTTTTTCTGGTTTCTCGTTGATGGCACTTATGTAATATGGAAGGGAAATTATTATTCAAAAAGTTGTTTTCTTTTTTGTTTATTTTTAGTTTTTTAGTTTTTTTTACAATTGATCATTATGGCAATAGTTTGTGTTGAAATTATTCTTATAAGGTCAGTGATTGTGCACATAGAGAATTATTTTATAAATGATCAATGATCATTAATTGGCATCCAATCATCTATTGTATTCCATTGTATAATACAAATACAAATTGTAAAATAAGTATTGAATCGATTTTCTAATATTTACTTTATTTTTTTATTTTTTCTAGTCAGGACAATGGCCTGCCAAATCGACATCAATCACAGACACTAACCATACAACTCAGCAACAACAGCAACAACAGCCGCCTTATTTATCACCGGAAACGGATCCGCCCTTAACATTCGAAGCCGCTGCCAGCCTTGGTATTGGCCAAGTAACCGGCTCACGAATACTGCCCTCACCACTGCCCAATGGTTATGGGAAACCCGGTAAAAATACCTCACATCTTTCAAGGCCTTTGAAACCGCCACCATTACCATCAAGAGCAGCCAGCGCATTAGGAGGTGGAGGAGTCGCTGGTGTTAGTATTGGACGAGGTCCACCACCACCGATACCAATGCCATCATCTTCAGCTATTCCAATGGGTTCAACTAGCCTACCAAGTCAACATCATCATCATCATCATCATCATTCTTCTTCTCCTCCACCATTATCACAAGCACCTTTATTACCCCGACCTGCCTCAGCAGCAGCTAATATACCTACTCGTAAACGTCCACCTCCACCACCGCCACCACAGCCACAGCCACCACCTTCATTACCACCGCCACAAGCACCACCACCTCAACTTTCATCAACATCAGCAACTGCAGGATTGATAGGGTTATCATCATCACCAACACCAACTCTGTTACCGCCATTGTTGCCCTCATCTATGGCTCCAATAGCCTTACCTGAATCACCATCAGGTCAACCGCCCATTATACTGCCCCCTGGACCTTTGGTGACTGCACCATCGCCTCATCATCGACATCATCGTATTGATGGCTTGACTCTATTGGAGGTTGATGATGAGGATGATGATTGGTGCTAACATTGGGCAAACTTAGTTGTTAATCAATTTTTTTCACTCTTCATTTTTATCATTATTTATATGCAAATCACTTTGTCATTGCTATTGCAAAATATTTACCCTTTGTTTTTCACCATTCAACTTGATTCAAGTCTCCACCCAATCTCTATTTTTTCGTATTCTGTACTCATTCTCTATTAATTTTGTCCAATTAATTCAGTTGAACAACTCTATCCACCACACCCTGAGTACAATTTTACCATCACTCCTTCTTACCTTAGACAATTACTAAAATTTATCATCTCCTCATCTTCATTATCATTATTCTTCATCTTGAGAATCATTTTTTACTTATTGTTACCATAATCTGTTTCAATGATAAGCTCTTCTCCATTTCAATTCTTTGCTTACGCCATTTCTCATTCAACTGATTGCTAGGCTAATAATGGTTCAATTCATTATCTTACTTTATTCGATTTTTTATAACAAATCAATTTCAATTGGTTCAATTTTTTAATTTTAGATTACAAAACGAACAAAACTTAGGAATAAATTAATCAATCTCTTATGTTAACGAGAAAATAAATGTTGAGCAAAGACTGGAAAAAGAGAAAGCTTTATCAATTGTAAATCAATTCCCAGTCTTATTTTGTAACTAAAAGCTAAAATCATTTATCAATTGAAATTCCAATTTTGCGAATTGTCATGATAAACAAGTGATGTCAATCTTTATACCTTCTCCTGGAGACTTTCATTTTACCATCATTAATAATCACCAAAATGCCAGCATCATTATCACAATTTGAGACACAAATTTTTGTACTGTAACTCTTTTCCCTCCATGTTATCTTTCTTTCATTTGTAAATAATTGTTATTTCATTGTTATTATCAATAATGTTATTATATTATTATTATCATTATTATCTGTATCGTTATCATTGTTGTTTGTTTTTCTTGTATCTTGCCTTCAATACATATACACACACCACACACATAATTTGGCCTCTAAACCACAAGGAGATAAACATCTTTTATCCAATTCCAACTTTACCTTGTTCACGAACAACAGCTCATGGTAAACAATGGCTGGTACTAATTGTGGCACTAATGATGGTGGTGATGATGGTGGCTATCATTGAAAAGGATAATCACAATCGAGTATCCAACAACGAATTTCATCTTATGGGTCAACTTTTATTTCTCTCTCCATTCTCTTTTCACCTTTCACTTTGCCCTTCATTTTGGTTCCAAGCACAACCTTTTTGTTTTGCTTTACCAACATTTTCATCATCATATTGTAATCAACCGAGAATCAACAAGGAAAAATATTCGACAACAAAAGCAATTGATAAACATTAAGAGGGACGAGAAAATGAGCCTTAATTGTTTTGATACTCTTGTTTTTTTGTAGCTAAAGGTATCATCCATTAACTCATGTAACTCCATGCAAAAGCATCATTTAAGCATAAAACCAACACAAGCTTAGACCAATCAGCCATAAAAAATATCTTGTACATAGATTGTGTATATAGAAGCACATTAATTATGACAATTGTTCACCAGATTGTCTTTCTCAATCTTTCAGTCTCTTCATCTTTTTTGTTGACTCAATTTTTGCTCGTTGTTCAGTACGTGTTAACAATGATACCGAAAGGCAAACAAAATATAAGGAAAAACAAAAACATCGATTGTGTTTGTATTCACATTGATCTGGAAATCTTTTCAACCTGTAAATAATTATACAAAATCAATTGTTATATATATAAGATAATTATACAAAAAACAAAATGATTCTAGGTTCGCCTTGATTTATATATGTTAAGCAAGATTTATATACAATTTCAGCTGGTTTCAAATAAAAATTATGGAGGGTTACAGAGTTGGATATGTTGAGAATCGTTATTAATGTGTATATTAAATGTAATATGGTTCATCGAAATGCATGGTAATCAACATTAAAGTTATTAAGAGCCATGGCAATGATGTTATGTTTACTTTTGTTCCTGCCATAACTGTTGGTCTCTTCATCTTCCAAGTATAACTCAATCACCTGAGCACCCAATTTTGAGGAATATTTGCTTTTTGTCTTTTTCCATCAATGAAAAACACACCATGTAAAATGATAATTGTTGATTTTTTGGTTGAAACTCTTCTTTTCAAGTACTCTCCGTTGAGAGCCTCTTTTTTATTGTATTTTTTTCAAAATTTGTTTTCTCCATTTTTGCGAGGACTAATTATATACACACATTTAAAATGCTCCAATCTTAAATTATTTCTTCAACATTTCGGATCTTTAATGGTTCATGGATCACAGAAGGTTCGGAAACCAATCGGCCATTTAAATGATAGTGTTTGGTTGTTTATACAGGCATAGAGGCGGAGGAATAAGTGTTAAGCTTGATTTTACTAAGGTAACCATTTTAGATCATCTAATTTCACGATGACAGGAAAATCACGAATATCATCGGTATTTCCTATGCTCGAAGCACTGGGCTCATAATCTTCATCATCGAATCCTGATGTTACCGTCTCATAATCAGAACTTATATGTTTTTCTTCTCCACCAAACTCAGTAGCACTTATTCTTGATTTTGCCAGATGCATTTGTCTCTTTTTGGCGCGTTTTTCCTCTCGCTGTTTCTCCCTTTCCCTTGATGATTTTTGCGCTTTTTGAGTTCCTTTGATTTCAGCCACTGTATCTGGAGCGAAATCTTCACGGACAATAATTACAACACGAATGTTCTCCTTGGAAGCTAATTTGGCATCTAAAGTAAAAACAAATCAATTAGGAAAACGTTCACCAAGATTATGTAAAACAAGTAAAAGAGCTGAACGCTTACCTTCGACCATCCTAGTTATAAACACAATATCTTGTGGATTCATCTCAAGCAGCTGGATTAATTTGATGAAATTTTTAGATTTGTGTTCCAAAAGGTTCATATGACCATCAATCAACTAGAGAGAGTGAGAGAGAGTAAAGTGTAAATGAAACAAGTTCCTCAATAGAGACACACTAAAGAGGTACAGGTTGTAAGTGGAAGACAAGGGTTAATCCAAAAAATTATAGAAAGCCTTATACCGGTAAAAGATTACCCTGAGTGGTTCGAGAGAAAACGTTACGCAGAAAATTAGTGGGTCCAACATTAACATACACTTTGAGACCATCAACCATTTTCCATTGAGTTAAGACATCTTTAACCTCTGGATAAACACTACAACATAAAATCACATGAAATAAAATTATTGTTAAAATGAAAAATTGAAGGAGATATTAATAAACAATATAATCACAATTACGGTGTAAGTAGCAATCCCTTTTTGTAGGCCCACTCCGACAATCCGAGATGAAAAATACCAAGAGCAGCTGATCTAACACCCCAGGCGTGTTCGAAGCGGTATTTTAAATGTTCCAGAAAAGCATTAATTTGCTCTTCCTGGGGAGCTGAGATTGGAGCTAAAGGTGGATATCTGGATTCATCACGTTCTGATTCTATCTCTTTCCGAAAGAAATTGACTGATAATTTCAAATTTGTTCGTCCCCAAACTTCTCTGACATAATCTTTGTAATTATTCAACAAAAATTGCCGAGTCTCTGATGAATAAGTCATGAAAGATTTGGTTACAAGAGGACCTGTCACATCCAAAACAATGGCTAAAGGTTTTTTTATTTCAAGTATGGGCATAGTGAAGACAATAGTCTTGGAGTCGTAAGGTTGGGTTAGAGAATTAACATAAAGATTGAATAATCATCCCAAAATCACATTTAATATTGAAAAGATTGTTACAGTTCAAAGGTTCACAACAATATAAATTGAGAAAAGACATATTTGATGACTTATAAATTAGGAGTCTAAATATATCCTGTTTTTGAACAATCAAGTGTCTGGATAGTTTATACAAGAGTAAAAAATTAATTTTGCGTCAAATATTGTATTTTAAATATAATGAGAGCGAAAATTAGAGTTACATTTCAACCTTAGTTTTATCATTCGCATTTTTAATTTTCAAGAATGATGCGGATAGTATTTTTAAACCTTTTCTTAGATTAGATGTCATTGTATCATGGTTTATTGAGAGTTCTTTTGATATTTCCTTCAATGATTTTCGTTGTAGACCAAGGCCAATCATTATATTACATACTTCTTTATCTAACTCCGATGTGAACCTTCCAGTGAAATAAAAATAGGATAAAACTGTTAAATAATCAAACACTCCATGCAGTGACACAGATTCATTAACAATGAAAGATGAATAACGACTGAAATCATCGTTAGTTAGAATCACGTCAATCTCGGAAGGCGATAGAAGTACATTGTTGGTTTGTGTTAAACTTTTATCAGATGTTATTACTTCATAAGCCAATTGAATGGGCAATTTTTTGAAATCACGATCCAATAGAGAAACAAATCGACGCCTGAAGTCTGTCCAAAACTCTATCAACCAATCCTTTGAAATTGTGTTGGAAAACTCAGTCCTTCGATGCTGCAAAAATTTGATCATTATACAACTATTTTCCCCAGTTAACTCATTGGCTGTTTGACGTAAATAAACTGGAACAAAGCCAGAAGATTTCCAAAAACGATATAGATCATAAGTTAGCCCATAACATACACCAATATAATCGAGACGTTCAGGTCTTCTTTCTTCTAAAGATATCAAAAGGGCATGCGATTCTTTAGTTTCTGAGCCATCCTCATGTGAAATGGTATCCGGATCATTTATGAACTTCCCCTCGAAATAATCGATCAACAGCTGTAAAGCTCGCCGACCATATCCTTGTCCAACATATTCTGGATTCGTAGCTATTCTGACCACACGAGCACCTGATAAAGCTGGAAATTTGTTGTCTTGAAATTGCTGGGCCAACGTCCAAGGTATCAGATCTCCTGGTCTTTTACTATTTTGTGACTTGTCTGATACTGAATATTCACTAATTTGTCCTTCAAGACAAACTTGAATGAAGCATAAAACTTCAGGGACAGACATATTTGATTTTTCATCTTTCTTGTTTACATTGTCTTTAGTATCAAGTAAGCCGAATAAATGATGAGCTGGGGCATCAGCCATCATTTGAAGATCATTAGGTGAGTTCTTGTAATGAGATGAAGTATACAGAGCCATGAGCTTATTCAAGAACTTTTCTGATGTCGGGTGATGATTGAATAAGACATCTCTGTTAATATAAAATAGGGCACAGTTATCAATATTGGAAATAGAATCCATTTTTTTCTTTTTAGACGCAACATTTTTTAAACACAATAACTTGTTGATCCAGATTTCCACTTGATCGCCATCTGCATATCGGATAGATTCTTCCAGTTTTATTTCTTTCAATTTTGACTTATTTGACTCATTTCGGAGCTGTTCTATCAGCTTTATGGACAATGCCCGACCGGTTCCTTCATAACCATCAATTGTTGAAGATAAAAAAACTAAATATGGTCCCAAAAATGACTTGACAATTGGTAATGGGATAGCTGCGGCTTCATCTATGATTATTAATTCAGCAGACTTTTTCATCAAACTGTTTTCAGACATCTCCTTGGGTGGCACATATTGAATTTTTTGATTAAATTGATTTAAAATATTAATCGTAACAATCGACTTGTTATGTGATGGCTCATTCGAGTTGATTACATCAAAATCAAAGTTCTGTTTCAGATTCAAGGCACTAAGTCCTTTGATCACAAATTCAAAAAATGTTTTAAGATTCTCCGGAGATGGCGAAGTAACAAAAATATTGCAAAAATTATTTGCAATTGCACCGGCAACAGCAAGGCCTAAAGCAGCTGATTTACCACGTCCACGAGAAGCTGTTAAGGAAACTGTTGTCCTCAAAGTTTTGTCAGCCAACGATTCAATCATTGAAACCACAGCTTTTGATTGATCCAATGTTGCACATAAATTTACCAATGGTCCAATCAATGGGTTTGATTCAAAAGAGCTGCTTAATTTTTTTATTTCATTTTGATTTGGTTTTTGGCTCGATTCAATTTCTTCAATATTATCAGGAATATGAAGAGGGTTGAAAAGGCCATCCACAGCTACAAAACTTTTGCAATTTTTCAAAGATGAGATGAAACGTGTGTTAAATCTGGAGACAACATCCTTATGCATTTCGGTTTGATATTTTTTGTGCACATCCATAACCAAACACTCAATAGATTCCATGGATTTCAACAAGAAAATAACGATTCCTCCACCATTCACTGTTTCAATTGTCCGAGCAAGAACATTTGGTGTGAGAGCTTCAAAATCTTGAATAACCAGCAGGTCATAACTGTTACCAAGAATTCGATCAGTCTCATTATAATAACACCACCTGATTGATGCTGACCTAATGAATAGCTCGAATGGATCTTCATCAGGGTCGACTCTTCTTTTTTTGAATTTATTTTTTAACTTTTTCTCTTTGTGAGCTGGACTTTTTTTAAAACACCATAACACTGTACCTTTAGGTTTACGAAGAAAGTTGAACAGAATTGGTACAACAAGATGTGGTTTCTCCCCACAAATGGCAAAAATACTTCGTTTCTTTTGGACGTTATTACTGTCTAGTAATAATTTAATTCGACTGTCGATCTTTTTAGAAGTCATTTCAATACACGAAATAAATATTTTATTTAATAAACTTTTCAAAACAAATTTAATTTAAATTGATGAAATTAAACACGTTAAAGCATCAAAAATGAAAGCATGCTATTGTTTACAGACATTGGTGAACTGTATGCTCCATCTGTTGTCTAAAAAGGATATCTAAAAATAATAAAATTAGCGCCAGCCTTGAATCTTGAAACAATTCAAGTCAGTAACACATGTTATTGTTATGTTTTGATTTTGAACAACTTATCTTTCTATTAGTCTTCTTGATATTGAAAAAATTAATTTATCATAATAGTAAGATCTAAAATTTATAATAAATGGCGATAAGTGAAATAATAGCCTCTTTGTCAACTAATCCGTATTTCGGTGCCGGTTTTGGTCGTTTCTGACTGGTAGGCAGAACGAGGCATTCCTTATCGCCGTGGATATCTCCTTTATGGACCTCCAGGTTTGTTTTTATTTTTCTCATTTTTAAAACCTTTAATAAAGTTACTAATTAAATTTATTTATTTTTCAGGCTGTGGTAAAACGAGTTTCATTACTGCACTAGCCGGAGAATTACAATTCAGCATATGTTGCCTAAATTTAAGTGAGCGAGGACTTACGGATGATCGATTAAATTATTTAATGAATGTGACACCGCAACAATCAATTGTTTTATTGGAGGATATTGATGCTGCCTTTGTGTCTCGTGAAGAGAGAAAAGATGTCCAACTTGCCTATGATGGATCAAGTAGATTGACTTTTAGTGGACTCTTGAACATGCTTGATGGTGTAGCTTCATCGGAGGCGCGAATACTTTTTATGACCACAAACTACTTAGAAAGACTAGATCCTGCCCTCATAAGACCAGGTCGAGTTGATTATAAAGAATATATTGGCTATGCAAGTGAAGAACAAATTATTAAAGCCTTCACCAGGTTTTATCCGCAAGAAGATACCGAAATGGCTATTCAGTTTAAAGACAGACTTCTGTTGGAGACAAAGCAGGTTTCAATGGCTATGTTACAAGGATACTTTTTATTGTACAAAAATAATCCAAAAGAGGCATTAAAAAACATAAATCAATTTAGGAAGCGAATATGACAACATAAAGTGATATCAAACCTGCCACCTGATCAGACCGAATTGTCTTCATATTCAAAAGCATTTACACCATCATTTTCATCCTCACTTCACAAGGTTACTGCAATCTGATGGAAGATTGAGAGAAAATGATTTAAAAAATTTGAAAATTTTTTATCATTATTCATGGACAAATCACTTCTGCGTTGTCATTGCAGAATAATTTACTTTTTCTCAACTTAACCATTCATAATTTTTGATTAAACAAATTTTGTGTTTATGGTTGTGAATTGAAAAGACGCATTTTATTACTTATAAATAAGGAGTCTGTTATTCTGTTTTTGTGTCAATCACAATCAAGTGTCTAGATAGTTTAACAATAGTAAAAAATTAATTTTATGTCAAATATGTTTTTAAATATGAATAAAGCGAAAATTAGAGTTACATTGCAACCTTAGTTTTATCATTCGCATTTTTGATTTGCAAAAATGATGCGGATAGTATTTTTAAACCTTTTCCTAGATTAGATTTCATTGTATCATGGTTTATTGAGAGTTCTTTTGATATTTCCTCCAATGATTTTCGTTGTAGAACAAGGCCAATCATTATATTATATACTTCTTTATCTAACTCCGATGTAAACCTTCCAGTGAAATAAAAATAAGATAAAACTGTTAAATAATCAAATACTCCATGGAGTGAAACAGATTCATTAACAACTAAAGATGAATAACGACTGACATCATCGTTAGTTAGAATCACGTCGATCTCGGAAGGCGATAATAGTACATTGTTGGTTGATGATAAACTTTTATCAGAAGTTATTATCTCATAAGCCAATTGAATGGGCAATTTTTTGAAATCACGATCCAGTAGCGAAACAAATCGACGCCTGAAATCTGTCCAAAATTCTATCAACCAATCCTTTGAACTTTTATTTGAAAACTCAGTCCTTCGATGCTGCAAAAGTTTGACCATAATACAGCTATTTTCACCAGTTAACTCATTGGTAGTTTGGCGTAAATAAACTGGTACAAAGCCAGAAGATTTCCAAAAACGATATAAATCATAAGTAACACCATAACATACACCAATATAGTCTAGACGTTCAGGTCTTCTTTTTTCTAAATATACCAAAAGTGCTTGCGATTCTGAAAAATCCTCATTCGAAATGTAATCCGGATCAGCTAGAAACTCCCCCTCAAAATAATCGATTAAAAGCTGTAAAGCTCGCCGACCATACCCGTGTCCAACATATTCCGGATGCGTAGCTATTCTGACCACACGAGCACCTGATAAAGCTGGAAATTTGGCATCTTGAAATTGCTGGGCCAACGTCCAAGGTATCAGATCTCCTGGTCTTTTACTATTTTGTGACCTGTCTGATATTGAATATTCATCAATTTGCCCTTCAAGACAAACTTGTATGAAGCACAAAACTTCAGGGACAGACATATTTGAGTTTTTATCTTTCTTTTTCACATTGGCTTTCGCATGAAGCAAGCAGAATAAATGATGAGCTGGGGCATCAGCCATCATTTGAAGATCGTTAGGTGAGTTTTTATAATGAGATGAAGTGTAAAGATACATAAGCTTATTTAAAAACTTTTCTGATGTCGGGTGATGATTGAATAATGTATCCCTGTTAATGTAAAATAGAGCACAGTCATCAATATTATTAGAGTCCATTTTTTTCTTTTGAGACCCAACATTTTTTAAACACAATAAATTGTTCATCCAGATTTCCACTTGATCGCCATCTGCATATCGAATAGACTCTTTCAGCCTTATTTCTTTCAATTTGGACTTATTTTCCTCATTTCGGAGCTGTTCTATCAGTTTTATGGACAATGCCCGACCGGTTCCTTCATAGCCATCAATAGTTGATGATAAAAAAACTATATATGGCCCCAAAAATGACTTGACAATAGGTAATGGGATAGCTGCGGCTTCATCGATGATTATTAATTCAGCAGACTTTTTCATCAAACTGTTTTCAGATATCTCCTTGGGTGGAACGTATTGAATTTTTTGATTAAATTGATTCAAAATACAAACCATAACAATTGACTTGTTATGTGATGGTTCATTCGAGTTGATTATATCAAAATCAAAGTTCTGTTTAAGATGTAAAGCACTGAGTCCTTTGATCACAAATTCAAAAAACGTTTTAAGATTCTCCGGAGATGGCGAAGTAACAAAAATATTGCAAAAATTATTCGCAATTGCACCGGCAACAGCAAGGCCTAAAGCAGCTGATTTTCCACGTCCCCGAGAAGCTGTTAAGGAAACTGTTGTCCTTAAAGTTTTGTCAGCCAACGATTCAATCATTGAAACCACAGCTTTTGATTGATCCAATGTTGCACATAAATTTACCAATGGTCCAATTAATGGGTTTGCTTCAAAAGAGTTGCTTAATTTTTTCAATTCATTTTGATTTGGTTTTTGGCTCGAATCAATTTCTTCAATCTTTGCAGGGATATGTAGAAGGTTGAAATGACCATCCATCGCTATAAAACTTTTGCAATTTTTCAAAGAAGAGAGAAAACGTTTATTAAATCTGGAGACGACTTCTTTATTCTGCCCATATTCGGTTTGATATTTTCTGTGAATATCCATCTTTAAAGATCCAATAGAATCCATGGATTTAGAAAACAAGAAAATGATGAATCCACCACCAGCAACTGTTTCAATTGTCCGAGCAAGAACATTCGGAGTCAGCGCTTCAAAATCTTGAATAACCAGCAGGTCAAAACTATTTCCAAGAATCCGATCAGTCTCATGGTAGTAACACCACCTGATCGATGTTGATCGGACAAAAATCTCGAAGGGATCCTCAGGGTCGAATTTTCTTTTCTTATTTTTCTTATTTTTTTCTTTGTGAGGGAGATCTTTTTTATAGCACCACAGCACTGTCCCTCTAGACTTTCGAAGAAAGTGGAACACAATCGGTACAGCAAGATGTGGTTTCTCCCCACAAATGGCAAAAATACTCCGTTTCTTTTGGATATTATTACTGTCTAGTAATAATTTTAATCGACTGTCAATCTTTGTAGAATTCATTTGATTTTATCAAAAAATAAATAAGTATCTATTTAATAAACTTTTCAAAACGGATTGAATTTAATTGTTGAAATTAAACACGAGCATCAAATTTTGATGATCAAAAAATAAAAGCATGCTATTGTTTACAAAAAAACCATGTTATGCTCCATCTGTTGTCTAAAAAGAATATCTGCAAATAATAAAATTAGCGCCAGCCTTGAATCAATTCGGGTAACACATGTTATTGTTATGTTTTGATTTTGAACAACTTATCTTTCTATTAGTCTTCTTGATATTGAAAAAATTAATTTATCATAATAGTAAGATCTAAAATTTATAATAAATGGCGATAAGTGAAATAATAGCCTCTTTGTCAACTAATCCGTATTTCGGTGCCGGTTTTGGTCTTGTTGGAATTGGCTCTGGAATTGCAATCCTTCGTAAATTTCTCATAGTTGGTACTCAGGTTTTCCAGAGAAACTATTTGATGAGCTTGGAGGTACCTTGTCGGGACCGTAGCTATGAGTGGCTTCTCTTGTGGATCAATCGTAATACAAAAAATGCCCAACATTTATCCGTCGAAACTACCTTTAATCAAATGGAGAGTGGTAAAGTTGAAACAAAATTTGACTTTGTGCCATCAGTTGGTCAACATTATTTTTGGTATCGAGGAAAATTAATTTTTTTGGAGCGATCTCGTGATCAAATGTTAAATTTAAATACAGGAGTACCTTGGGAAAGTGTCAAATTAACTACTTTAGGAAGAAATCGTCAGCTCTATTTTGATATTTTAGATGAAGGTTTGTACAATTGTGTTATCCAGATTGTTAAACTTAAACCTTTGTTTTATTATTGTGACAGCCAGAAGAGATGCTTTGGCTACCTATGAAGGAAAAACTGTTATGTACACAGCAATGGGCCACGAATGGAGAGAGTTCGGAGCGCCAAGAAAAAGAAGATTACTTTCTTCGGTGATACTAAATGGAAATATAAGTGAAAAAATAACCAAAGATGTAAAGGAGTTTATCGATAGTTCTGACTGGTATGCAGAACGAGGCATTCCTTATCGCCGTGGATATCTCCTTTATGGACCTCCAGGTTTGTTTTTATTTTTCTCATTTTTAAAACCTTTAATAAAGTTACTAATTAAATTTATTTATTTTTCAGGCTGTGGTAAAACGAGTTTCATTACTGCACTAGCCGGAGAATTACAATTCAGCATATGTTGCCTAAATTTAAGTGAGCGAGGACTTACGGATGATCGATTAAATTATTTAATGAATGTGACACCGCAACAATCAATTGTTTTATTGGAGGATATTGATGCTGCCTTTGTGTCTCGTGAAGAGAGAAAAGATGTCCAACTTGCCTATGATGGATCAAGTAGATTGACTTTTAGTGGACTCTTGAACATGCTTGATGGTGTAGCTTCATCGGAGGCGCGAATACTTTTTATGACCACAAACTACTTAGAAAGACTAGATCCTGCCCTCATAAGACCAGGTCGAGTTGATTATAAAGAATATATTGGCTATGCAAGTGAAGAACAAATTATTAAAGCCTTCACCAGGTTTTATCCGCAAGAAGATACCGAAATGGCTATTCAGTTTAAAGACAGACTTCTGTTGGAGACAAAGCAGGTTTCAATGGCTATGTTACAAGGATACTTTTTATTGTACAAAAATAATCCAAAAGAGGCATTAAAAAACATAAATCAATTTAGGAAGCGAATATGACAAGATAAAGTGAGATCAAACCTGCCACCTGATCAGACCGAATTGTCTTCTTATTCAAAAGCATTTACACCATCATTTTCATCCTCACTTCACAAGGTTACTGCAATCTGATGGAAGATTGAGAGAAAATGAAAGGAAAAGAGAAAGAAAGAAAAGAAAGGCGATAACAATATCGATCCAACTGGAAACACATAAAATGAATAGGAACCAATTCATTTCATACAAGATGCTGAAGAAACAGAAGAAGAAAGGATATAGAAGATGATGAAGATGAAGTAAAAAGGCTGAATGAGCATGTGAGATGAAAAGGATGAGGATGAGAGGAAAGCAAGTTGTTATGGGAAAGGAAAGAGACGTTAAGTTAGTTAAAGGCAAGAAAAACTTACATGTATTCACAAGATTCACTGAAAAACAGTTACTTGCCAGGTTAACCTGAAATTTCATTTCTTGTTGCTTTCCTTTCCTCTATTATTGTTGTTATCCTTGTCAATGTTGAAAAACCCAACCAAGAAAAAAGGTTCAAAAATTGTGATAAAATTAACAGAAAGTAAAATGCCAATACAAAATGGAAAGGTTAATCTAATGAAAATAGGAATAACAAATGTATACCAAAAACAAAGCTGTACAATGATATTGAATGTTTTGTAGCATCTCAAGTAGCCAGCAAACCAACTTGGATTTTTACTGTTCATCATTTAATTTATTGTTTACTTCATTTTTTCTGTAATCATTGTGATTCCTGGATTTATAACTAATGTGAATTAAAGTGAATCAACTTGAAAACAAAACATCTTTCTCTTTGATTGTCTACTCACTGTTAGTAAATGTTTCATAAAGTGAAAAATAATTTCAACTAATGATAATGTTAGTCTTAGGAAAAAGGAGAAAAATTTAGCTCAAAGTGAAACAACATTATCAACATTATTAGTTGACAAAGCATCATCACTGTAATTCAAGTCATCATTAAACTCATCACAATCATAATCATCAACTGTAACATCATAATTTATCATTCCGTGTTCCCTGTTGGTCACAATTATCAATCATTTTTACATCTTTTTTGATCCTCTTTTTGTTCACTCCAGTTTCTTCAATAGTTGACCAGACAAGAAAACAATAAACCAATCAATATCTCAAAATGGTAAGTTTAATGTTTAAATATTTAAATGATTCAATCCTCTTTGTCATAACTGAATAAATCTTGAAACAGAGAGATTATTGTAATCAATGAATAGTCAATAATAATCTGGACAAAAGCAAGTCAAACTTTGCCTATTCAATCACCATCATCATCATAATCATTTTCGTCCTTTTCTTTTCTCACCAACCTTTCAATTTAATGGTGATTCTGTGTATGCTTTTTAAGAAGATAAACAAAAATTCTGCCAGAAAAAAAGGATAAAATGGAAAGAGAAAAAACCTGGGAATGGAATTACATTGAACTCAATATTTAAGGATAAACAAGCATTTCTATTGCTAGGAAACTCTTGCCAACATCCAATCCATCTCATGTGCATCCTTTATCTTTATATTCATCTTTTTGTTTATCTTCATTTACCTTTCCAAACTTTTGTCATTCCATTCCTTTTATCTGCATCTTGACAAATTCTGATTCACCAACTGACACCTTTAGAAAAGAAGAGAAGCAACAAAAAAACCAGAAAATAGATAAAAAAGATTATGGTATTCGAAACTCCCTGAGGGTTCTTTTCTTACATCCACATCCATTCCATCTCTACCTGGTTAACCTGGTTAAAATAACATCAAAATCTTTACCCATTTCTTTTTTTCTCCTTTCATCTTTTACGATCAAGAAAAAATAATTTTGACGATCCAAAATATCTCAACTTTCACTGACTTCAACTGTATAAAAGGTTCATAAATCTTGATTAAATTATATTTCAACATGAACAAAAATTTAATCTTAAATAAAAGTTGACAGAAACAAGCAAAAAAGCAATTGATTTGGCTTAATCTGAATCTCAATTTGACATTGAATTGATGAAAACCATAAAACTTCAAATTCATTACAATTATGGAACATTTGACCTCATTTTTTGTCCACTTTTTATAAGCTTTCTGCTTTAGTCGAGTCTGTTCAGTTTTCAATTTCAATATTGAAATGAAATCAATTTTACTTTCATGAAAAAAGATCGACTTTTCATACATTCATTTAATTAATCAAAGTGAGAAACACTTCAGACTACAGCACAAATCAACAGCAGAAAGTGTCATTTTAATTGAAGAAATCAAATGAAGATGAATATTGAAATTGCAAATTTCATGATCAATTGTTCAATGTTAAAGTCTGAAGTAAGGAAAATTCATTTCTAGCAATGTGTTGGAGAATAGTTTGTCGAGAAAAAATTGAAATTCTCGATGAATATTGAATCATGAAAGTGAAGAAAAGCGAAATTTCATTGAGTTTTCTTTACAAGTTGACTATTGAATGGATTCCTCTTTTCAATTGCTTTGGTTAATCTATTCAGTGTTCACTTTGTTTCTCTAATTGCCTTGAAATCTCTTTATTTGAACCGAGTTGTATCTTAAACTGTCTTTACCTTGTTCCGTCTACTTAAACCATTTACATTCTTCATCAAAATTCTTCTGGTGTTAGACTTTGGTTCGTCTTTGGGTACATCAATCAATTGGAATTGACCAAAACTGTTCATTGACAAAATGCGAACGTTGATTGACTTGATCCTGAATCATTTTCCAAGAATTAACTGACATGTTAATTAATCAAGGCAACACCATTTAACCAGACATTTGGTCTTGCGAACAATCCAAAACAGAATCAAATCGGTTAAGGTCAGACTGGATGGATAACCATGAAATTCGTGTGTGAATCGTTTTCTAGGTTTATTGAGCACTACGTAGTGATTAGTTTCATTACTGAGTCGAAGATGAATTCTCCCACAGAACTGATGACCAAAGCTAATATTATTCATATCATTTAATATGAAGTACTCTATTCTTCTAGACATTAATTGTCTAGAATCATGAATTTGGTTGAGAACATTTTCCAGTTTGTTCAGCTTGGATTTTACAGAATTTCATGTAAAAGCAGAATAATCATAAAATTCGTTAATGTGAATCAAAAGTTTTGAAGCTGTTCAGAAATGATAGAAAATTTCGTCAAATATTGAATGTTACTTGATCGCATTGAATTATACTTTTGCTTCTTTTGTGATCGTTGAATCTAAAGACTTCCGTCTTGCGTTTGAATTGAAAGTTGAGTTTGAAATTGTGAATCAATAAGCGAAATCGTTATAATCAAATCTTTTCTCAACAGGGAAGGATAAACAATAAGCCAATAATAATAAGAAAAATAAGAAAAAAATTATTGGTAAAAAAATGAAAAAAATGTTGAGAAAAAAAGAAGTGAGGAAACCTAAAAAAAGACAATGAACCAACGAATGGTAACTGAAATGTGAATATCGACAAGAATTTTTGTTCAATCAGATAATAACTGATTACTTTCTTGGTTATTGATTCGTCCTTTTCCCTCTTAATCTCTGGTTTAGTCTGCTTTAGCCATTTATTGATCCATAACATTAATATCTATTAAATGCTAAATGAGTGAATCAAGAACATTGTACCTTGAAACTTGTAATGAATATCAGCTCTTACATCTTTACGGTTGCTCTCAACTTGTGGCAAGTTACTTGATATTAATAGACTTCAAGATTCGATAATAATGACCGGAAATTAATGATTAATGTTGGAATGAAGAGGATAAGGAAATGCATTTTTTTTCGTTACACATTCTTTTCTTTTCCCTCTTTTTACCATGTTTACATGATTTCGAATGAATCAATAAAAGAAAATTTTGTTTACTTTTTTTGCTTTTCATTTGATTCCCTTTCAACCTGAAAATCATGAAAATGTAAAAATCTTTTCTTCCCAATTCTTTTAATTCAACCTTTGAAACTTCACATTTTCATGTTTTCCATTTTACTCAATGAATTTGAAATTGTTCAATCACAGTGAGTGAAAGAATAAAAAATTTTCTTGAAAACTTGAATAATCTTTATGCTGCTTCCAGGCAAATATCGTTAAAGGTAAAAATGAAAAGACGAAAAGAATTCAAATTTCTTCTAATGAGTTTCACCATGAAATGAATGAAGAAAAATAAAGAAAATTGTTGATCATTAAGGTGTTAAAGTCCCTTAAGTCAAATTCAATTTAAAAAAGTGGAGAAAATTTCAAGAGAAAAGATGAGAAAAGGAAAATTATTCACAATTGAAATTCAGGGAGAAGACGTTAATGAAGACTTGGAAGGAATAGACAATTTTCAAGACGAAAAAAGGTGTTTCAACCCTTTCCATGAGTCAATCATTATTTACTTCAAAACTTTTCTTTGAATGAAAATGTTTTCTTCAGATTCAACATTTTCTAATTATTAACTCAAGAGAACAATCAAAATGTTTTAAAAACATCAAGTTTCATGATGAAAATCATGACAATCTAAATAACTCGAGTTGACACTTTTTTCATTTCTTTTTCTTTGATAACTTTAACCTGCCTTTTCTGCATTTCATGATATTTCATTTCACTTTTTTTCTGTTCATTTAGTTCGTGTTACAGAATGTGAGAAATGAGAAAAATATTTAGTCTTCATTTGTTTCTTTCCTTCATTCAATGTTGACTGTTTTTGTGAACAATTTTACTCTTATCATGGAAAAAATGTAGTCTTTTAATGAACTTGTAATTAATCTGATGAAACTAGGAAAATGGGTGAATCAAGAAGAAAAAGATTGAAGGAAAATGAGAAAAGAAAAATTGTTGCAATTATAACAATTTTATGCTCATCAAAACTCTGAAAGATAGTAAAGATAATGATAACAAAATTATATTATATGGTGATATTGAAATGAACAGGATGAATATCAAGTTGACAGAGAATAAGCTTTTCATCATTTAGACTTTTCTCGGCTTTTTGCTTGTGCACATCAGATGCTTTCCATGTTAACCTTTGATTGATTGGAAACTTTATTGTACAAGAGGTTTTATCCTTGCCTAATGAGATTCCCTCCAGGGAGGTGCAAAGTACAGTTGATGATATTCAGCTTTTGGTACAAATAAGGATAACGATCATGTTCATGAGTCAAATATGAATAATGGTGAGTCAAGAAATTAACGATTCAATAACAAGTTTCCAATGACAAGAGTCGGTCCACAGAACAGTCAGTGTAATCTATTCAGGGAATTCATTCAATTGAAGCATTCTTCTGATCGAAACTAATAAATCAGAAACATCTTAAACAAGTCTCTAGAGATTGTTAAACGGTTGAAGAAGTCGAAAAGTCAAAAAATTGAAGCGAAAGATCTGGGTTCGAAAAAGCTGTGAAATAAAAATTCCTCAGTAAAAAATCAAAAAACAAAATTTTGAAATTTCGAAATTCCAAAAGTTCCGTAAGATCGAAAAAGAAAAATGAAGAATAGGGAATCGAGGAGTCGAAGTGTGATTTTTTCTGTGTTGATGTTGATTAACTTTGAATTAGAACTCGTGATTTTTCAGCTTCCCTGCCAACAGAAGCCAGGAATTTTGAAAGAAACGCAAATTGAGTTGAGCACAGCGTGAAGAAATTTTTGTGTAATCAATTAACTTTATCCTGAAAATTGATAAAGTTCATTTGTTCATTTTTTCAATGCACTAATTGATAGCCTTTACAAAGTTGCCAAAACTTATTCAATTATCTGGAGAACCAAATTTCGCATCACTCTTAAGGTTGCATTTGGTTCTTATTGAAACACGGAACAAGATGAATCCATCTTGATCACATACATGATAAATGATTTAGATTCAATGGAAAATTGATTCTCTTTTCATTTTGAATATTTAATCATCTTTTTTTTTGCTCAACAAACATTTTCCCTCTCAAAATGTAACTAATCAACATCAACTAATCATCATTTTCTCATGGTTTCCATACATTTTGGAAAATTGTTTGGCAATTGATTAATCTGGTTGAATGGGTTATGAATGAAGAAGAGAAAAAGCAAAGACTTTTCTCTGTCAAAGTGAAATGAACCAACAATCAGAATTAATTGTTTTACATTAAAATTCAACTTTACCAATTATCGCAGGCAACATTGGTGCATTCATAATATTGATTGTTACTGTTCATCTGGGAA